ATATACGTGTGCTAAGTAATTTGCTAAATGCTACAGGGATGAGAGGGGGCAGAGCTTATTTTACCCCAGGGTCCCATAGCAGATTAATCCAGCCCTGGTGAAGACACACAAAGACACACTGACCTCACTTTTTCAGCCTTTTTTTTAAGTACATTTGCAAATTGAATGTAGCACACTACAGTGCTTATAAGAAATGTGTGTCTGTGGGGGGGGGGGCACAGACAAAACTTAAGTAAGACAAGGACAAGACTTTCAAAGGGGCAGAGCAGCAGAGAGAAGGCTCACACCATGCCTCGCTGCACTCTGTCCGAGGCAATCTAATACACCTAGTCATGTGGTTTGTTGCCATGGCAGCAAAGATCCCAGCCGCTCGTTCGTAAAAACATAGTGCTAGTCACCCCCCCACACACACACACACGCACACACACTGCACACACAACACCTCCCACTGCAGACAAGCAAAGTTTGTAGAGAAAAGTTTTTTCACAAGTTAATATCTTTTATGATGTAACGCTTGGTGGGATGATAGTTGAGAGCACAGTGACACTTCTTGGGCGAATGCCTCAAAAACACTTTTTTCTGCAAGACAATCATTCAGGCATGGTATTTCAAATTACTTTGACAGTAATTGGTAGACCCAAATATTATGCTGCAGAGACCCACGGTGTGGAAATTAGAATTCACCTAGTGTTAAAAAGCAAACAACTGCATGTTTTCTTCCCCTTACTATCTGTCCTCTGATTCCAGTCAGTACAGGCAGTCAATTAAGGAGTTCTAGGAATCTTTAAAATCCAGTTTAGAAGGGAAAAGATTAAGCTAATAAGTTAATATGAAATTACAGAATCAAGTGCAGTATTTGAGGAAATAACCTCACAGCAGAGCAGTATGAGCTACCATAGAAAAAAATGGTAATAACTAATGATTAATGTCATATTAGATTGACAAGACAGAACAGACCATCCATATAAGAATTCAAATCACCTGTATTTGAAGGTTTTTATTATAAAGCGATGACAACCCTGTAAAAACACAGATAATAAATGAGTGTTTTGTTAGTTATGAGGCAATAATGAATGCCTACAACAGTAAATAGCTATTTTAATTGTATACACAGCAATGTCAGGCCACGACTGGCAGCAAGTAGTCTAATGTCAGCTTAAAATTAATGGCTATACAAGCACATTCGTCACTTACACAGTGAGTGAATGTGAAAGTGTACAAATACATACTATCTTATAGATTAACACTGATATCCTTTCCACATTGCAAGCAAACACGTCCTGAGAGCCAGCAACGTGACCTTCTGCGGTCTGTTTTCAGTCTCAGAAATAACTGAGATTGATACAATCTATTGCAAGAGCAGATATTAAACCAGCACAGCCAATACAAATTGTACGATGGTGAAGGGAACGTGATGATCAACATACCTCTCATAAAGCACCATGGTTGTATTCCTTTCCCTGAGCTGAGCTGAGTTATTACAAAGCCAAGTCCTCTTCTAGAAACAGCTGCACACAACACAAAACTCCTCTCTAACAAGGAAACATTACAACAAAAGCAGTCCAAATGGACAGGGCTGACTGAATATATCTGAAATTAGAAACTGTCAGCAAGGAAACAGCCTGTGCTGCCTCTATCTTTAACTACAAATGAGAAGGCTCAACATTCTTGTACAGCTTTACTGGCTCTCTAGTTGCAGACCCCAAACCTCATTCTTGGCATGTGCCCAGCAAACATTACTCTTTCTCTGTGGCACTGTCACACTGGCAGCATTAGAAAATAACTGCCCTTAAAAGAGCAAATCATCGTATACCATTAACATTGCAGAGAGACTGGTGGGGCAAAGCACTGCCAAAAGCAAAAGGGGGGTCTCACGGTAATGACTCACTCATCATCCATCATCTTTTAATGCAGCACGGACTTCTGTTGTCCAAATATTCAACTGCATGTCAGGCCAGCAACCCAAAAATGCCTTATTAGTCAGTTATTTACATTATGAGTCTATTTCTGTAGCAGAACATAAAACACAGTGGACAGTGCTGCTAATTTATGTTCTCCTTGATGTACTTGGAACAGATTGTCACCAACATTACCCAAACACAAGCACTGACTTGAGTTACAGAGCAATCTGTGTCTGGCTGGCTCACTACAGTGCATCGCAGCTGTTACCACTGATTGGCCAGAGTTATTTTTACATCACGAGTATATAAACTACACCGGCAATCTGAATCCCATCCCCTGACAGAAATAAAAAAAAAAAAGCTGCTCCATTGATTTAAGGTTAATCAGTCAGAGCTCAGCACAGCCAGAGATGTTGTGCTTTAGTGTTTGCAGTGTAGGTAGTGGAGCTCAGTTTTCTCTTCCTGTCTGGTACCAGCCAGTGATGTCTGCTAGAGGGCCCTCTGCTCTCTGTCCCCTGCTGATGATCACCATGGTTTCAGCTACAAAAAGGCCAAAACTTTGGGACCCTGATGTTACAAGAGAGTGCAGCTACAAATTTACGGTTGGCCGTGCTGTGATGTTGTTCACAGCACTGGTTTTTGAGTTCTTTGCACAAACTAAAATAGGGTAGCCTACATTTTTTTTAAAGTATTAAAAAAATTGTTGAAACACTGGAATTAATGGAAATACAAGTATGTTTCTGCAAACGTGTGATGTGATATGGGATGCCACACGGAATTACATTTGCATTTCAATCACAAGCTTGAATAGAGATGCACTCCTGGGCATAGACAGTGTCACATTGCACATTAAAATACACAGAATTCCACCAGAGCAACGCTGTCCAAAGGTAAAAGGGCAGCGACAGGCACCTCATAGTAAATACTCTGCTCAGGCATCACCTGTCACGCCAGAGACACCTGTGTGTACGGGAGACAAAGGGTCTCATTGTTACTGAAACATCTGCCTGCATATGCGACTGCCTTTCTTGTGTTATTATTGTTATTGTTATTATTTTGAATCCTCGCACATCCCCGCTTTTCTATCACTGTAACTTGATCGGGAAAACTAATTTCTCCCAGAGTGACAAAGTAGGTTAAGGTCGCTCCTCCACTGCTCGCCAGCCTCCCAGCAGCTGCAGCAGCGCACTTGCACAAGACTTACCAGTATTTATTTCGAGGCATGTCATGCAACATCACTGTTTTTTCCATCCAGGGATCCGACAGCCGGTCGTGTCCTGCGGTGCGATCAGGGTTTCTTTGGTGTGGGCTGCCGCATCGCTGCACGAAGCGGCCGTTGTTGTGCCGCTCTCTTTGCAAAAAGCTTGTGTAGTGGAAATTTTCGGGTAGCGTACTGGCTGAGCGGAGCACAGGCAGCACTTGCCTCCAGTATGTGGCCTTCGCGGTGACGTAATGCGGAATCTCTTCCCTTGCGTCAGCGAGCTTTCGGCTGCAAAATGTTAAAGTTTGATACGAAAGGAATAGAAAAACAAACAAACAAACAAACAAACAACAAAAGCAGGTTTAGTTATTTATTTTCGCGGAGGCTGTCGTGCAGAGACGCGTCCGTTTGCTGGTTTAGGCATGTTTGCAGCTTTAGGAAGATGACGTCATTGGGATAAAATACGTGCTCTTTAAGTAAATATTTGTGAATGGAAACAATATTCATCATATTTGCTTATATTTGCGACGAATCTTATTTCAAGGTATGTTTTAGATGGATGGATACATATAATAATGCAGGTACAGATACTGAACTTTACTTGGGTTGTTTTTTTGTTTTTTTTTTGCCAGTAAGAAAATAAAAAAAATAAAAGCTTTAATTATTGCACATTTTACTCTCTGTAATAAAAACCAGTTCATTTCAAATTGCACTTTTTTTCCACTGGTGTAAAAGTTATAAAAATGTTATAAAACCGACTTTCAAAAAGACATTTCTTCCTGTGGGTTGAACTGAATAGCACATTTTTAATAGCAAATTAAATATTTCATTAGATTGCAGAGGTTTTGCAACCACAAGTTAAAAAAAGGAAAATTAATCTTTCAAAGGCTGTATTGTTTTTATATGATTTTGCACATGAGGTGGTTTTTATTGGAGCGTATTACCTGCTCAAACCTTATGTAACACTTTCTCAATAATGGTCCAAATAATGTGGAGTTATTTCATCATTTGCATCTTGCGGTGTATGGCTGCATTGGCTTAGTAGTAAGTAGTAAGTAAGTAGGACCCGTAAAACTAAACTTTCCCCCCAAAAATAACACGTTTTAGCCAATAATCAACATAAATATATCACAATTACTGTAAATACTGTAAAACAATTAAAAAGTCATTATAACTGTGGCCAGTTAAATAAAATAAAACAAGCCCACATCAATGTAGTGCTCCCTCTCTCTCTGACTCTATTCTCCTCTCTTCTATTCTTCAACAACATGTGCCTCTTCACGTGAAAACGAGCAGTAAACACCTCTCAGTGCTGCTATAAACATAAACATAAAACCTTCACTGCTGCTCTTGAACGCAGCTCGCCCCGCTCCAAGCGCAGCCCCTTGTTGCTAAGCAACCTCCGCAGAAGATTGACAGCAACTTCAGTTGATTCATTTGGGAGGAAAAAAAAAAAAAACTTTAAAACAAAACGCAACTTTTTTACGGGACAACTGTTGCTGCGTTGCCACACAGAGAACCAGCAGCAAACTCCAAGGTAGCTTAACAGATAGCTGGCAGCCAAAAGGTGTATTTAATACAAGTAAGTTGATAGCCTGCCATTTTTTTTTTCGCTTTCACTTTCTGCCATGACAACGACCCCCCACTGCTCATTAATTTCTCATTAGCGAAGTTAATTAACCGTCAACTTAACGTTAGCTAAGAGAGCGAGCTGAGTGAAGTTGCAACTTTAGCTAACGTTAGCCAGCGTTAACTTTTGCCTGAAAGATTACCGGCAGATATTAAAACCTAAGTTATCCTCTAACGTGTGGAATAAAGTAGCTCAGGTTATTAAACGGAATCCACAATTTTCCTATTTTATTGATGAACGTGAACGCCTCTCCACAGGACGGCGGAGGATACACTGTTGGTGTTTGAGCGATGCCGGACATTGAACCCCTCAGATTCCCGTCCAGGGAAGGACGACACAACGTTAGTCAGCAAGGTGAGGAGATTTGATAACTGCAGGCCACTTACAATCAGTATTCACATCCTTTACTTACAGGAATATAAGAATAAGTCCTGCATTTAAACCCTTTCTTAGAAAACAGTATGTATTATTAGCTAGATCAGAAGTTAAAGTAAAATGGTGTTTAACTATGGTCCTTAATAATACTGGTGCATTGATGTTTATGTTGTGTTTTACTACTGTTTAGTAATTATCATGTTTGTAGTATTGCTGTCCTGTATAGTGTCAGTGGTGGGAACCATGTATCTGTAAAAACAGCCCTGTTTTCAGCTAAGGCAAGGGTTTTTTATTATAGTTAATTTAGCTCAAGAAGTATGAAGATTTTATCAACCCATAAAGGAATCCAGATTTGTAGATATATGTTTTTTTACTGGACAGTTCGGGTATGAAAAAGCTGTAATCTGAAAAGTAACTGGTAACTAAAGCCGACAGACAAATGTAGTGGAGTAGAAAGTAAGATGGGAATACTAAAGTGCAAGTACCTCAACTTTGTACTTAAGTAAATGTACTTAGTTACACTCCACCAATGCGTGACAGTTTAATATCACTATTTTCTATTTTTGAGGTGAAAAGCTGGCCCCACACACTGCACTTTATAAATGATATTAAGGTGAATAAATGTAAATAAAAGTGGAACGTAATCACTTTTAAAATACTAATATCATTAGTGATTGTGGTAGCGGAGGTGATCGGCCCTCAGGCTCACATGGGACTGCTCTGTGGCTGTAACACACAGCGCCAGTATGATTTAGAGCTTATTCAGCCTGCTGATGACATATCGTCTCACTACCTTCCTACTGTTCTTTCACTGTGTATTATTCATCTAAAGTGCTCGGCAACAGATGGCCTTCATTTCGGGTCTCCCCACAGTTTTTCCTCGCCTGTTCTTGTATTGGTCTGACTCAACTCAATCACAAGCCGTTCTCCTAATTAATGGAGCGTCATGGCAAGATAACTGTTATCTCGGGTGGGAAAGGTTCAATAGTCTCACGTACATTTTGTGACCTACCTGTTTCTTACTGTTAGAGTACGTGTTACCTGTCTGCAGGTACTTGACAGTTTTGGCTCTATCTCTACGAAATAAAACTGTATTGAGGGGGGCCTATCCACTACTCCAAACATGTGCTGCTGTCCTGGTGCCAGGTAACACCAGATATCACCATGATGGTAATACATGTATGTCACACCACCACTCGTGACAACTGAAGATACTCTTCATGTGTGTGTGTGGGTGGACCCTTCGTCCGGGGCTGGTCCTCACCCTCACCAAGTTGAGCACACACTCATGTGTGGTAGAAGCAGTTTGGGCCTGACACAATCCACTCATGGTTCTCCATCTATACTCCACCCTTCTACGCAATGACAGCAACAAGCTGGCCGTCAAAGTAAGTTAATGGAAAGCTGAATAAATTAGATAATAGATTCAAATGTGTTGCTTCCTTGCAGCTCTCTCTCTTGTGGGTCTGTGAAAACATCACTTCCACCTCACCTGCTATCTTACACTGCAGCTTACAGTGTAAGTCAGAGGAGTGAGAATTCATAATACAACGCACATCTCTTTATAGTTTTAGTACAAGTAGAAAACTGATGCTGAAGTTATACTGTATGTTACATGATTTTCTTTACTTTTTGGTAATATTTGTGGTTGTGTCCTGTCTTTTTATCTGCTTACTTTATCACAAATTAGATCGTACTTACTTTAAATTACCGTGAGAGATCACCTCAGTGCCACAAGGTAGGGCACAAGGACCAAAATATTAGTTCTGCATATGCAAAAATGTATTTTAAATGTGATAGGCAATTTTGTTCCAAACTTTCCACACGACTGTGCATGTCATTTATGTTATTGAAGGCTTATTAAATTAGTAACTCATGATTGAATTAACATTAGTGTTTGTGATACCATTGGCATACTGTATATTGAGATAATATATATACACCACAGGGAACGTTTTGCCACTAACATCAGTTTGGCCTTCAATAATCTTTACTCCTGAATTAACCCAAACCATGACATGTTTATAATATAGATGTAATATTTATATAAAGTCAGTGTTTCAGATGTTCAGGTTCACAACCTGCAACACTTGTGCTTTTTACCCTTTTTCTCAGCCAGATGGCGTCCTTTCACCACTAGGAATTGTGTCCTTGGGTTTGTCTTGAGATGTTCAAATTAGTTGTCTCTGCTCTCTCACTGATGCTTCCAATACATTGCAGAGTCTGTGCAAGCAGAATCAAAGAGAAAGTAAAGAAGCACAGAACATCTTTCACAGCCAAATACGTTTTTGTAATTACTTTTCAAAATAAAGTTAATGAAGAAGGGTGAGTGTTTGTTCCAATAAAAGTCTGTTGTTCTGTGAGTTTTTTTCACTGAGGGATGGTTCATCATCACTGTGTTATTTATCAAATATTTCAGGGGCATTGTGCCATTATGTAAAGGAAAAACTGCTTTTGCCTTTTCATTTCATCTCTGAAAGCAATTGTTTGTTATGAACAAAATTTGGATTTACAGATCTCAATATTTTGTGTTTCTCAAGATCAAGCAGATCTTCAAGCCGTCTGCACTGGTAGACGTCGCACTTGTGCTTTGCTCAACAGTCCCTCGCCATGTGTCAACAGTGCTATTTACCATATCCAAGAGCTCAAGATGACGGTGGAAAATTGGTGTCAACAGGTAATCTGATGTCAGATGTGATCAGCTCTGTGAAAGATTGTAAGATAAATATCAGACAAGAGTAAAAATCAATTTAAAAGTTTTTTTTTTCCCCTTTTGTTTTGTACCAGTCTGGAAAATATCCAATTGATCGAGAAAAGCACCAATACAGCAGAACTTTAAGGTGAGCTTCTCTGTTGTTTTTGTTTCCTATTTATTTTTGTTACATTCAGTAGGACTCAAAAATATGATATTATATATTAATTCCTTTTAAACAGATTTCATTCCAGAGACTCAGATACTGACTCAATGACGTCTACAGAGTTGTTCGTCGAAGGCATCGCAATTAGTGCAAGAGGTGAACAACAAAAATTCCATACATTTTAAAAATATTTTGTCTTCATTTTTATTTTAACTATACAAAAGCAAACACTGTCTTTAATGTACATGCAGATAAAAGAGCAACACACATGTTCACTTCTTTGGACAAGCTCTAGGTTTAGATTCCTTGCAGTTGTTGTCAGTGTGAGAATAATTGAGTCCCAGTTACTGGTTCACATCTTTTCTCCACATAGTAATTAATTAGATACCATCCAGTGTTCACCTCTGCTAATAAAATACCATGGATCAAGTTTATGTTTATTTGCACTTTGTAGTTGGTCAGATTATATTAACATAGCATTGCAAAACAAGTCCACTTGTTTATTCTTTTGCGTATTGAGTTGCCAAGCTTTAAAGTTTTTCATCCTCTAGAAAGTTGTCCATTATCGCCACTATTGAAGAAAATAAATGATGTCCTTGGAGAGGTTGTGTATCTGATTGAGCGACTGGAGGCTGATAGGCAGTATGCAGAGGAAGCTCTCCACAAAGAGAAGAGGAGAAAAATATTTTTGGAGAACAAAGTTGACAGTATCGCACTATGGAAGCAACAAGAGCACTCTTTTGTAGTCCAAAAAGGTCAGTGACTGAGAGGTGTGTTATCATCTCAGACATATTGGTGTCTTGGGAAGTATTAAACAACAAATACACTTTCTAATTCATTTCTAGAGCATGAGGCTTGCATTAGAGACATCACTGAACTGAAGTGGCAGCTAAAACTGGAAAGACAGAAACTTGACCAAGCTCAGAAGAAACTGTCTCAGACTGAGGTGTTGAACCAGCACTTACATGAGGACATCAGCGTTGCCAAAAAACAAATTCCCATTGTGAAAGAAAACCTTGACGTCCAGAGAGGCATCGTACATCAACTCAACACTGCACAAGCCGAGGTAACATTTAAGTAGATTTATTCTTGATTTAAAAATGATTTCAAATTAAAACCCAGAAAGAATGGACCCATATGTTTACCAAAGATATGGTTAATATTTCTGTCTTCAGTAGTAGTTGAAGAATTATTTTTTTGTAGGAATGAATCAGCTAACAGGTAAGAGTTTGTTCTTAACACAGTCCAGTCGTGTCAAGTTAAAGAATGTTGTACCTGTACATAATACGTTTCTTAAACTGCTACCTTTTTAACTACCTGTTAATCCCTGGTCATTGGCACTTGGGTTAATAAGTGGAAAACCACATTCTGTAGCGTTTTATACATGACCAAGTAATCACAACAAAATAAGACCAAAATAAGGTTAATTTTTCAGTTTCTGATTAATTTCTCCATCACACACTAGGTCTCTCTCACTCAGCCACTCTCTTTTCTAACTCTATTTTTAATCCACAAGTGGCATGGCTTTAGGGATTCCAGTGTTTGTTGGTCTGTTGGTCCAGTGTTCATCCAATACTTTGGTCTGGAGTACAATCATTCCATTTCCACAATTGACTGGATTACAATGGAATTTGGTGCAGACATTCATGGTCCCCAGAGGATGAATCCTAATAACTTTCATAATTCCCTGACTTTTCATTTAGCTTTCTTTAGTTCAAGTCAGGATGCATCAAAATCTAATGACCAAATTCAGCCTTAGCTGTACTTGTGTCTTCATGCAAATATGCCATGAAAGAGTACCAGTAGAGAGATGAGTAATGGGGACAGGATGTAATTGGTCAACTTTGACTTGAAACCATTGCAGCTTTATGGTTGCTGAATGAAAAACCAGACTGATGCAGTGTTAGAACAAATGAAATATATATATATATATATATATATATATATTAAATTACATCTCAACAAGCCATTGGCTGTAAGTGTTCTAAAGATGTTAATCCCTGGCTCTGATATTCAAGTGAATCTTTAAAACCAGGCTTACTGAAAGCCCTGGGTTAACAGCTAGCCTTGGGCTTTCTGGATTTTCTAAGATTTGCCAAAGCTAAGGAAAAATGTAAAAACCCCTGTGTGGCCTCACTGTTTTTTTTGTCATTAAAGTATTTATTTATTTTTCAACAAATAATACAAACAACTTACTAAAAAACAGAAAAAAGGCAGTCAAAACTAAGCTTAAAGGACAACACCCCTCTACACCCCTCTGTACCACAATATTGTTTGTGATTATATCAACTTCGATGTGTTTCAGTGGCCTCACTGTTGACTTGTGCAGTAGTTTCCTGTAGAGATTTGCAATATTTAGTTTTCTACAGGGTATGATTTGAAACAGGATAAAGTATTGTCTGTAATATCAGTCCCTTTATGAAATGAAATTGTTCATAAATAATATCTGAGGAAAATAAAAAGCCCATGCTCCCTCCCAACTCTTCTTTTTCTTTTAGGCTGATGCACTAACCTCAAAGACACAAAATGATCTCATGCTGGTTAAGAAGGAATTAAAACAGATGGAGCTGGACGCCATCAATGAAAAGAAATCGCTGACAAATGTGCTGTCGATGACGAAGAATCAGCTGGATAAGAGATTGTGAGTATCTATCCTACCTGCAGTTAAAAACAAACAGCTTTAGCATTATTTGTGTTAAATAACCACATAGTCATTAAACATGTCATATGTCATTCTTATTTAAAGTGCATTAGGATTATATCATGTGTCTGTTTTAACCGTTGAACAGACCTCAAACAAAGTTATGCTCAACAGTTCAACCACTCCTTTAAATCAGCGTGCAAGGTATATTAAACTGCATGTAACCATAGCAACGGTACTTCTGTTTGATGATGATCTCACTGACTTGACCATTTAACTGATTTGAATACAGGTGTGCTGATATAAGGAAATAAAGGGCTTGGCATGATTTTAACACAAACGACTGACAAAGCCAATACCAAAACATACACACACAATTATAGAGTTATCATGCTGTGTTGTAGATGATTTTCTTGCAATATGTCAACTAGCATGAGTCTCTTGTGTTGTGACAACATATTGTGACAGCGTTGTCTTACGAGTTATCTTATATTAAGTGAGCACCAGATTTGAAACACTGCTATTAATCCACCAACTTAATAACAAAAGACAAAACTATTTTTTTCTCCAGGTATGATTTAAACCAGTTGAAGATGATTGAGAAAAGTCTATGTGCTGAAATAAGGGATACTGAAAAAACAGTTGCTCTTACAGAGGACAAGTGCACGGCCATAACTCAGCGTATCCCTGAAATTATAGAACTTGAGAAAACTGAAAAAGAGCGGGTAACTGATTTTATCCATATTTTAGTATTTAAAGTTTAAAAAGTAGCTTTTAACAGCAAACAAAAAAAATAGCAAAATCCCCTTTTTTCTTCTTTTATAACAGATTTTGCAATTGAAATTCCAAATTGAGGAAGAAATGCAACGGAATAAGAAATTAAAAGAGAAACTAATTGCTCTGCAAAAAGACATTGAGAAAACTGTAAGTATTGTCACAATAGTGTTAAAATGTCTTCATAATGTTGGAGCTGCTTTGGCTACTTATGTGTGTCTTGATAGTTCATTGGGTAGAGCGTGGCACATAACTGCCAGCCTATGATTGGACTCTCACTGGAGCTATGAGTGCTAATACAGTGGCACACTGTATATATGTATGTTACATTATCCACAGAGACTTAATGGGGAAGCAGAGGTTTCCTGCATAGAAGAACAACTCCATTCAAAACGAAATGCCTTTGCAGCTCTTCGTAAAGAAAACATGGAGTATAAACAGAATGTAGACGACTACAAGATTAAACTTTCTGAAAGGTACAGTGTACAGTGGTACATACAACATCACATTTTAGGATATTACAATATTCTGTAGTAGGTCACCTATGTGTGTTTACCATTACGTCTCTGTGTGATTTTCCTTAGCAAGAAAGCAGTGAAGCAGATGCATGAGGAGAGGAAGCAGATGCTCCAGAAAATCATTGACAATGACGAGCAGTGGGAAAAGGCCAAGGAGGAAGTGACCCAAGTTGTAGCCCAGCACAGTGCCACCCAGGCTAAACTGGAAGAGCAGGAGCAGCTCACCTTCATGGAAGAACAGAGGGCCAGGGTCAGTGACAGCATATGTACATGTTCTATGTATACTGCATGGGTCACAGTTTGTAAGGAAAATGTGAGATACCACATGCTCTCCAGTGTTACTCTGCTATTTCTATGCTCTACAGAAAGAGATAGAAAACCTGAGGAAAAATCTGACAGGTCAGATGACGACCCTGGAACTACTGAAGGTAAATTCATGACGCTGAATGCATTTTACTCAGTCAGAGTGGAAAGAAAATGTAATCACCAAATTGTGATGTGAACAAAGTAGATTTAAATTAAAATCTTCAAAATATATCTCTGCAAACCTTTTTAGTTTCTGTCGAATACTTTGACTGTATCAATATGTTAATAGAGGGATGAGGTGAAGCTTCACAAAGCACAATCTCAGTATAACTGTAACTTTCTACGTTTCATAAAGGTAGTTTTAAATCCCTGGCTGTATTCAAATGCATCATTTTGTACATTACCAGGATTACCTCCTGTTAATGTTTTTACCTTGTGTACATGTTTTAAGACTTTAGGACTTTGTTACATTCTGCCTTGTATTTTCTTTGCATCAGGGTCAGTGTGCAACTATAAATGAAGAACTGAATCGACACCAAAGGAGCTCAGACCTAACGAACACAAAGCTTCAGAAAGAATTCGAAGATGCATCCTCAGCAACAAAAACTCTGGAGACAAGAATTGAGGTACTGATAAGGCTTAATAATGATTCATCTTAGTCTGAATACAATTTTACATTAAAAAACAGCCTTTTATTTATGTTTAAGTACTAATCTTTGTTTTTTTTATAGGAAATCAAGAAATTGATAGAAAATCTGGAAAAGATTCAGTGTGAACACAAGAACACATTAATCAGCCTTGAGAAGGAGAAAAAACTCAAATGTGACCATCTGAAAGCTGTTCAAGTAAGAATGGAGAGTTAAGGCTTACATAAAGAAATTCTTGTTGAGTCAAAGAACAGTTTCTATGTCAGGTTTACTCTGTAAAGCTCACTGAGCACAAAGCTAGTCATGGCTATTTATCTTGTCATTCTTTTGTTGAACAAAATAATCTCTTGTTCTAAGCACTTTGACGTTTAACAGTAACATTAATGCATTAATGTTTACAGGATTTACACACTGCCACTATAAAGAGATACGACAACACTTTGATCAGGATCAGTGACATTAAGAAGAAGAGCGACGAATACCGAGATGCTTCAGATAAAATGGAAAAAATAGTTGAAAACATTCCAGAGGTCATAGCAGAACTTCAGTAAGTTACACACAGGAAACACTCAATACAATAGTTTATAATAAGGAATGGGATAATCATAATCAACATACTCAACCTTTTTCTCTTAAAATGTGTATTATTTCTTTAATTTTCTACCACCTCTCCCACTGATAAAGTAATCATATATTTATGATACTCAAAAATGAATTTAGAAAAATAATACTATTTTATGTGTTTGATTCCGCCTTCCAGGAGTGTTTTTGATGTGGTGGAATTCAAAAACAAATCAGCTGCTCTCATAATGAGCACCTTGCAGTCTGATATTAATAACTGCCAACAACGAACACAGCGATCCATGCAGACACACACTGCTCACGTTACAGCGAGAAAAAAAGAAATGGAAGACACCAAGGTAACAAAATGTTGTTCAGTAAATACATGACTTTTTTTGTGTCAAATACTGTGCAATCAGAGACGAGCTGTAAAAAACATCTCATTGTTTATTTGTTTGTGGATTAGTGTCAGCACATTGCTTGTCACAATACTTCCCTTAAGATGCAGAGAAAAGAGCTGTGTGCAATTAAAATTACAAGCCATGGTCAATCTTGTTTAAGTGCTTTTCCCACAAATGACAACTCACTGTTGTTATAGTCTTTTGTCTGGACGAATTTGATGATGCGTGTCGTGGTGAGATGCAGTGCCTATTTTGTTACCTGTAGGCCAACACTTTCAATAGCAATTTTCAACATAAGCATACAGTTCAACATGAAATACACATACAATCTGCCCCTTTTTTTCATATAAATGACAGAAATAGTCTCATGTAAAAATGAATGAATGGGTATTCTGTGCACAGAATGTCATGTATTTGAACACTCCTTTGTAAGAGAAACCCCTATTTATTGTAAGGTTTTCATCTGCAGGATTATCAGCCCCAGCCAGAGCCTCTTTGCTGATGGGGGTTTCACATGGCTTATCTAATGTGAAATCGCCATGTGGTATATAGTTTCATTAAACGGTGATCAAGAATGCATTAGTTCAAAACAAGAAAAGGCAATGGAGCTTAAGCCGCCATGCATCCAAGTGCAGCAACTTTAAAGAAGTTGTTGGCGTGAGACAATTTAAGAATTAGAAGTCTTCCTCATAGACACAACTCCCATTAGCCAGATAAAAGTTAGCCATGCAAAAAAGGGTTTAGTCTTTTCACTTGACGAAATAAGATGATATAACAACAATACTCCTCACCAAATAAAAAGATCAGAGAGAGTCTGAAGTTCTGAGGAAATTGGTCACTTTAATCATTGAGACCAATATAAAGCACACATAATGTCTGCATTAGCATAACATAATAAGCAGAGTGTGCATTCAGAAATCACAGTGCATGAAGCAGAATGGTTAGGCACTTTCAAATATTTCTTATAAAGGAAATTTCTTCTAAAAATGCTGACCCAATACTATACTCTTATAACCTCCTGTAAGTTGTAGCTCCTTTTGGCGTTAGAGTCTGATACAGGTCAGTACAGCTAATAGCCTGATGGGAAACATTTAATAATTTGTCTTTGCAGATGGTTATTTTTAAAAGTTCAAATACAGGGTATAGCAGTGTGAAATATGTCGTCCTGTGGAATCTGCGGTCATCTTTATTCAACCCATATATACCTGAAAGTGTTTTGTCTTTCATACATGCACCTATTTTTTGATTTGATCAGGGCTTGTCATTTTGGCGAGCACAAAGTAAACAATGCAAACTGCCGACGCTATCAGTTTCTTATGGGCAATGAAGTGTAATTTGTTCCATTTACACTTCACAACAGCATCAGATGGGCTTTGTCAGTGCTGCATGGAGTAATTAAACCTGAAATCAATAGCAGGCATTTGTCATGTTTACAGCCCCTCTTTCTGCTGGGTTAAACTCATCACTTTAGTGCTGTTCTGTTTTACTGCAGAGACACACTTCATTATGTCTGCAGGTAGACTTGAGATATTCACCAGCCACATATCCAGTACTTGGGAAACACTGCTCAAATGAAAAGAGGACATGCAGAGAGACACATACTCACTGTGATTTATTTGCTTGATTTGCCAGAAAAGTGTCCATTGTTTTATGTCTGCTGTTTATATTGCCTTAATTAACAGCACAAACACAGAAAGCATGTATTGTTTTGTATATACACAGAGCAGGTCAGTGGCACGACTGAAGTGTCTTCTAAATGGTCAGTGTGGTGTTACTATACAGTATGTACAGTACTGCATTTTAACTCTCTAGTTCCTTTCACCATATACAATATTTTCTTGGCTATCTGTACATTGCAGATTGTGAGTCATGTGATTATTCACTATGTATTTTACATTTTAACATTTGTACTATGCTGCTATAGTGGTTGTTCTTCTGCCAGTGTATCTGTTGTCTACTGCAGACTTATTGATATAATGGGCATCATACTAACACAAATCCATTTGTGAATACTGGTAGCTCTAATTGTAAAATTTACAGTTAATTATAAGAGGTCCCTGGTTCCAAGCCTTGTAAGTTTTTAGTATATTGGTTACAGTTAGAGATACACCAGATCAATATCAGGGCCGATACTGAACTTAATAATCAGATCAGGTATCAGCCATGACATGACTGATCCATATTAGGATGGTTTCTTTGTTAATGTTTTTATAAAATTCATTGTTTCAGCCATTAGTTACATTCATTTAGTCACAAAGGGAAACCAGATCAGGTTTTTAGTGCCATAGCGAACCCTGGCCTCATGTTACCTCACATGAAAATGAGTCCAATGAGATTCCGGTAGTAAGATATACACATCTTAATTTAAAAAAAAAAAAGATTGGTACTCAGTATTGACAGATACTCTGAATTGATGTATCAGAATCTTGCAAGACACAAAGTCAGAACAGTATGTAACCAGTGACAATGTATTGTAGGTATGTCACAATTACAACATTTGCAGTATTGGTCTGCATTCGACTTTGCACCTGCTTGTGTCTTTGTGGTTATTTAGTAAATACTGTAAGCATATTATTTACCTTTACTGTTTTACCATAACCTTTTATTGTCACGTGTGTGTAGGAAGCACTAAGAATTGCACTGGAGGAGAATAAACAGCTGGCAAGCGAGTACGAAGGTCTTAGGAAGATCCTAATGGAGGCCAAACAGGAAGCAGCGTCTGCACTGAGCGAGAAAAACCAGGCACATATATATTTTCATTATTACACACAGGTACGGTTATATAACCTTTTGTTATATTATTTACTATCTCTCACCCCCTCTCTTTTTAATTATGTTTTATGACTTAGGATTTTCTGTTATCTTGTGTTCTGTTCCCTCATGTTCTATACCATGCTGTTCTTCTTCGCACTAGATAGTTCTTCTTTTGCATGGGCAATAATTTTAAGAAGGTTTTAGTTTGGCGACCAGTGAGGAGGTTACTGCGGCAATCTAATAATGATGAGATAACTTGAGTGGAGGAGGATGATGGATGTGACATAATGTAATGATAGCTATGTAGTTTTGCCACCAAGGGGAGGAAAGAGAGAGGTTGATGGTACATGTAAATACTTTACCTTCTACATTTTCTTGATTATAGTTTTTGTAAGGTGGTCAGAGGTGAAACGTTTTATTATCGGGGTGTTACAAATTTGCCTCTGCTCACTGCAGCTCACACACGCCATTGGTTAGGGATCAGCAGCAAACACAAGTTAGGATCAGACAATGAATGTGCCTTTAGTGCTAAAATAGCACCAGATGTCTTGACTAGTTGAGGGAGACAACTCAGCAGCATTTTACTGTTTAATCTTTATAGTTTTTGACACTATTTAACTGGAATAGAATTACACATGACAACCATAACACCAGGAAGAAGCCACACTGATTCCTGCAATGAAAAATACATATTATTTGTTCCAAAAATGACTAATACCTTTACTTGAGCAATTCCTCATCTAACTGCATGAATGTTATCAAGTGAAAAATGCATGCAAAAATAAAATCCTGTGGACAGGATTTTCCACGCTCATGATCAAAGCCTGATTTTCTTTTACTCTGGATTCAGCCTTCACCATTTTTGTTTGTTTCAACTCTACACTTCTACAACAGCAGCCTCTCGGCTAGTGTTTTATGCCTGAATTTAGTTTTTATAACAAGCTTATAATCAACAATGTTTTTGGAATGTAGATGTGGGCCTATCACATTTAATCTGATTGAAACAGGAACGTTATTCTTTACTATTTTTAATGTACAATTATCCTTATAATGTTTGCATGTTATGTTCTAGTTAGTATATATTTTACACAATTCGATTGCCCTTAACTGATTTGTTTATAACTGGAGGCAACAAGGTAAATGCATTTAACATTGCCAGGATCATTTGAGAGATCAGAACATTAGTGCATGTGTGTGAGATGCCTCACACCAGTCATTTGTGTGTTTGGAAAGCCCATAATCTCTTTTATTATATTCAGCTGAGGGACACAATGAAAACCATCTCTTAAGTATCCTTATATAGAAATATAATCCTAACAGCAGGTGTCCCTGATATATAGTTCAAGTGACAAATTTCAAACAACCCTTACTATGCTTTAGACAACCACTATACAGCACAGATTTCTACTATTATATATACATTTCCCTGTACCATGAAACCATACAAAAGAGCATCTAAAACACGGAAACCTGAAACATCTATAATAAATGATTGGGGGTCGGCTCATAATTGTGATTTGATTTCCAAGCCATTGCAACACGACCCATAGCTGATATTAAAATGCAGATTATTGGTCTACCTTTAAAGCCGAAATGATTAACTATCCACAAGTTGTCATGTTGAAAAACAGCTAGAGTAGGTGGAGCATCTGGTGTTACCAACCACATACCTTGGATGTCGCACTTTACCTAAGCATATCCTACTATGTTTTTTATACTTGATAAGATAATTCAGAGGAAAATATTGTGCTTTTTATTCCACTTCATTTATTTGACAACTTTAGTTACTAGTTACTTTATAGATTAAGATTTTACACACAAACACATGATGCGCTGTTTATAATACAGTTAAAATTAGGTCCACCTTGACCAGCTGCAGCAGTAAAATGCTACTTACATATTAATGCACCAGTAATATTAATACAATAATATATAATAAAAAAACACTCACAGGGCCATTTTTCTGCAGAATGAGAATTTTTCCTTTTAAATAGGTACATTTTGCTAATAATACTAAAATACTTTACTTAGAGGATCGATGTAGTATTTAGTGGCATCTAGCAGTGAAGTTGCTAGACACAGACTATTTGAATACAGCTCAGCCTTCCAAGCATGTAGGAGGAACTACGTTGGCTACAAAACGTGAAAGGCCGCATTTAAAGCCAAGTTTGGTTTGTCTGTTCTGGACCTTTAAAGTTCGTTTTGGCAGAAATGGAACACTACAAGAATCATCCTTAACAATAGCAGTTTCATAATAGCAGAGTTTTGAGACCTTTTGGCACACAAATGTGCTTGTTTTAGTGTTTTGCCATACTCCACCATAACAGATGTGTAACAACAACATGTATTACTTACCTTTTATTTTGCAGATGGCAGCTTTAATATACTTGCATTTCATGTACAGATAATTTTACTGAAGTAAGCAGCTCCATTCACACACAGCTAAAAGTGTCTGTATGTAGTGGAAGAAGTATGTCCTATTTATTAATTGCCCAATCAAGACACACTTCAGCTGGTTTCTAAAATATAAGAGATAATTGTTTTTCTTTTAAAAGAGAGGATGTAGTAAAAAAGTTAAATGCATTTACTTTAGGATATTTCTTCATCAAAATTCAACAAGTACAAATAGATCCAAATAAGCAAAATTCTCATTTTGAGAAAAATGCATAATTAATTAGCATCTGATAGCACTAACAATGTGTGTATGCTCCTCTTATAAAAGTCCTCTTGATTTTACTGTACATGTAAGCGTTGCTTTGTTTATGTGGAGGCTTTCAGCTCTTAGGTTTTAACAGGGTACACCATAAAGAGCATTCTTGTTATTGTCTTTCCTTCAGGAGCTGATGACTGAGCTAATTCGCTTTAGTTTTCAATGCACTGGGGAACACATTGCCAAGCAATGATAAGCTTTGTAGGAAGTGTAGAGAGATGGAGGGGGAAGAAAAGCAATGGCATCTATCAGAATTTAAACCTCTTTGCTTGAAACTGTGTTCAAATAATAAAGCAAGCAGCATGTCTTTCCAAGAGACTAGGAATAATTTCTGGTTTCAGTGGGGGGTTCATGACTCTGTGTGTATGTGTAAAATATGTCTTGAGGGGATTGGTATAAAGTTAAACTGGGTGAAGTAGAAATATTTTACTCATCAGCTTTGCAGTCACAGAGTTTGCCTCGGCTAGAACAAAACTGCTGAAGCATTTAGAGAAAATTAACCCCCCATCCTGGCAGCCAGATGTGACTGGATTCTGATGAGTGCACACGAGTGGGCAGAGAAACCAAGAGACTGTGAAATTCCTGTCAGGCCCGTGTACTGCAGAATGGGCTATTGACTGCTTTCTCTATTCCCCTCCATCATTCTTCTTGAACACTGCCATTAATTTCCTCTCCTGCCTTACCAATTCCTTTTCTCTGCCTTCTCTCCCCCTAGCTCTCTTTGTTGCAGAAGAGGATGCACAAAGCTTTGGTGAAATACTTCAAACAACGCAGCCTCTACAGCCAGGCTGAACTGGACCGGTGCCAGGCTCTTTCTCAAAAGACCAACCAGAAAATAAAAACAGCCCAGGTATTTGTACATATACATGTAAAACAGGCTGGAAAACTTCACAAGCTGTCACTATTCATTTGTATGGTAAATCCCTTTATTCAACTTTTATCCCGGTCTAGGTATTCTACCGGAATGAAGCATATTCTTTTGCATACTACAGTAACTCCATGTTATGCTTGGCATTGTTTGAGCCTCATCCGGCTAGTCAGTTGCCTTGTGTCTTCTTTGCCAAGCAAGGGCAGCCAGGCAAACATGCACCAAGGCTTTGTGCCTCGCTGCTATGGTGGAGTTAAAGATGCCACTCTTACATTACAGTCTATACATTCACTCATCAGATCACAGGACTGATGTGATGGATGATGTGTCTGCCAGAGTGCCTATGCAGTGACTCTGTGTCTGAGGCTAGCTCTGCCTCTCTAGATAACTCTATATACACAACAAATTGTGCTTGGTCACATTGCATTAACATTTGAGCCTGTTTTCCTGTTCAGCAGGGGCATTTGTGACTTTTACGGCTAATTCAGTGCGAGTTCATTACACCACATGGAAGATATCTGTGTTACAGCCCCTCTTTGTAGAGTAGAATAACCTTCTGTCTGTCTTGCAGAAGAGTAGCAGCATATTCTGCAAGGTTGAGAAGTAAGGATCTTCATTTAGAGGATAATCGGTGTCTAATCTGTGCTGTGATGTGAGATGAGGTCAAAGCGGACAGAGAGACAGTGATGAATCTTTATGAAATGTCCTGTCCAGCATTACCGCAGAGCCAGGTGGCATGGCAACCATACTATGAACTACTTCCATCCTTTTTACTTTACTTTAACAGTAGGGCGTCCCAAACCTAACTAAGTAACAACAGTAACATGTTTGTCAGTTGCAATCAGTTGTTTTTGTGTAAAATCCCTATTTTGTTTGTTGTTCATCAGATATGCTGGAGGCAAAATATGCTCAGATTTGATTAGAGGTTTTCCAGGGGAGTACCCAATGAAAATACTATTAAGTGGTTTCCTTCTCAGTTCCTCCTCCTCTGACTGCTGACATGTTTTTTGATGGGTCTGGTCCAGACATTACAGGGAGCAGCCATGTCTCACTGGCCCAGCCTCAAAAGGCCCCAGCAGATCACAGCTCAAGGCAGGGAGGAGTAGGGCACAGGGGGAGGAGCTATCAGAGAGCTGCAGAGTGTGAAGGACAAAAGAGCTGGTGTATTCAAGCGCACCACACCGTCACCCGTCACAGCTCAGCACAGGGTCCATCAGAGCAGGCAACACTCACTTTAAACAGGCTCCTCGTGAACAGTCCAGCTCCGGGTCTATCCTCCAAAAAGTACACATGTAGAATAACCTTTATGAGAAAAGAAAAGAAAATACATTATTAGTTTATGAGCGGGCATAAACACACAATCTGCATTATTACCTAAATATTAACACCTTTAATGTTATCTTAAATACACAGATATTGATCACTACTAAACACATAAAGATTCACAATTACATAATACACAGATTATCAATATTGTTGCCACTCTGTGAGAAGGAATCACGACTAATAACTGATAGCAGTTGTAACAGGAGTTAAACCAGACTGAATCCCGACGAGGCCTATACTAATCCATCATGTCCACTTAACCCCGCAAGCAGAACATAAGAGAGGTCATGTTAGCGCTTTCACGGCTAAGGCGTGCTTGAATCAGACGCCAAATGGCAGTTTGCTCAAAAGTAGCTTGAGGGGAGGAAGGCCAGGGAACCCCTAGGGTGGGTGGGTGGGAGTGGGTGGGGGTTGGTAGTGGGAGTTGGGGGGGGCGGCGGGCTGTCATCCTGTTACACTCCTGCCAGAACTGGCAGTTCAGCTTTGTGTTCTGCGAGTTTACACTAGGGATGGCATAATTGACAATGGCTAACAGCGGAGAGCAGTGCAGAGCCTTGTTGAATGGCCAGTAATGATTGGAGCAGACGCCCACTGCCCCAGTCCCAGGGGACAGTAATCCAAGATCCTGTTGCTGATATAATTGTTAGTCAGAGAATTTCTGCATGGCTAGGCCGGTTCAGATTCCCAAGCTGGTTGACAGTGCCAGGCAGTTTAATAGAAAAACTGGATGCTGAGGTTTTTAAAACAGAAGAGCACTGAACCTGGACGTGGTTCACCAGGAGCCTCTTGTTCTCCTTCCCCACAAAAATAAGAACAAGATGGTAACTTTACTCTCACAATTGCAGATCCACCATCAGCTGTGTGCTCACAGAGCGAGGAGTTTGTATTATTGCCTTTCTACCAAAACAGCCTTTTCTTAATTAGCTTGTTTCCATTTATTCTATTTGTCCCTTATTTAAACAGGAGGGGTTGTCAGATGAAATTCAGCTCATCGCTGCATTCCTGCAATCCTTGACAGATGACTCTACTACCACGGATGATGCCGGGGTGAACAAACAAGCCAGTCCAGATGCCGCTGGATCGAATGAGTAGATGCCTTCAGTTCAAATAGCAGTGTAATTGGACATTCACCTGTACCAGACAACTTACTTACCCTAGCACGCTTCACTATTCCCCCCTCTTTACTTGCAGCAAATCCATAACAATGAAACAGGTGACTTTCATGCTGCTGTCAGGACTGATCTAATTTTAGCTGGGTGAATGATTGCAATTGGCTTTGCCTCATCAGATAATTAATCTATGTCACCATTAATTGGAAAAGAGAATAATTACAGGCAGTGTTGACAGAAATTCTACGCTTCTCCAGATTCCAAGATCTAATTACAACTAGTGAAACCCTGTGACCTTAACTAGCACTTAGTATACCTTGGCCACCTTGACCATGCCCATGTGAAGACCACTGTCTCATTGAAAGACCCTGTTTTTGTTATCGCGCCCTCACACTCTTTCACTCGCCTCACTCTCTGAGAGCTGTCTCCCTCAATCACTTTTCAATATTCAATCTTAATTTTGTGGAAGTTTAGCATTTTCAATGAGCTGGAGATGAATGATTAATGAATAAATTTAAATGCTTCATTTTGTCCATGGATCATTAGTTAAGTCCTTTGTGGGAAGGACCTGAGAAAGGAGTGAAAATTATTGAGACATTAGCCTGAAGCAATCCAGGGGTAAATAGTGTGCACAAAAGGATGTTGTGTGCGCACTATCCAGTGGCTTTCTAAAGAACCCTGGGGAAACACTGTTTTCAATTTGGAATCTTAACTGAATCACATTTAGTACTTGTAGAAAATTGATTTTTGTTTCATCATGTTTCAACAATGTCATAGTAATGATACACAACACAAATGCCTGTTCCATATAGACTTTAAAAGTTAAGTAAAACTGTTTCTGGATGAACCATCCTTTTCTAAATCTTATCATTCTTATTCCATTTTTTTTAATTTTGTAAATAATAATGGTTATATAATCATTGAAAGAGAACACATGCTTTTGATATCCTTTACAATATTAGTTGTCTCAAGGTCGATGCTTTTAGGCTGCTCCATAATAATATGTGTTGCCCTCTCCTCCTGTCTGTGTCTGGTTGGTAGAGATGCTGTTGTTTTGTTGATACGCCGGATGCCTCTCCTGCTCGTGGGGACAGAAGGGGGCAGTGTGAACACAACAACGTTAGAAAGACATAATTGACTGCAACATGGTCCAGTCTAGTATCTTATCATGGCCATAGTTTTTCATCTCAAATTAAGGATCATTATTATTCTGTCAATTATATAAAAAAAATGAAATATGCAAACTTTTATAGTCTGTTATCTGTGATAAAGTTTTCTTCTGTACCTTTGCACTTACATATACTGTGTGATAATGTACTGTCACAAATAAGCAAGCATAATGGCACTGACGCGGTACCTCATATCAGCTACTCGCAAAGCCATGATGCCACTAGATCTCTAAAAGCACCTTGAAGAGAAAAATGTTCAGTCTGTCTCATATTCCTTGCTGACTATATGGTAATATCTCAAATGAAAGTGCCTCCCCAACACATTTATCTACTCTCTTTGCATCTAATCAATCCCCTAAATAAATGAAAGTGAGCCACAACTAGATGTCATCACATTTATCTGCAGGCGTGCCTCAAAGTGCACACACCTAAACGCTGCTACTCTAAAAGTGGGTGGACTGTAGAAATACTGATGGGGCTATTTGACAGCTCAGATGTATTTTCTTCTATGTTAGATGTTTGTTTCAGTATGATGAGGATGGAAAATACAGCACGAGGCTCACTGTTGTTGTATCAAAGCTGATTTAGAAGATTTTTGTAGTTTTGTATAAAGGCATATTTTGCAAGAGACATGTTGGGAAAATCTGATTTACAGGCAGCATGATTCTCAATTTCAGCCTGGCGCCACCATGCAGACGATGGGCCAGTTTCATTTGGATTCACCCCAGTGATCACTTGTGATCGTTGACGTGAAGCCAAGTGAATCAGAGCAACGTTCTGTCTTCTCAAGCTCACCAAAATTCTGTTATGAGATCTTTTTAAAACCAGGAAAAACGGAGGTGTCCACTCAAACCGTCCTGTCTTTGTTCATGAGCAAGTGGAGAGTCGAGCCATGGAGCTGATGGAGTCAAGGAAAGAATGTGAGTGGAGAGAGGTGCTACTGTGTCTAAAATATCAATGAGGGAGATGCTGCCAAGTTTTGGAGCACACAAGAGGGAATAGGTCCTCTGTTAACATAGAGTGGACCAGGCAGTTCTGCTTCATATTGTAACTGTTAATAGCTTTTATCTTATAGAGAAGATTTTCTTTACTTATATTTTAACTACATAATTTTAAACATAATCTACTGCTCATTCCCTTCAGTATTTATACACTGCAGTAGGTTATTAGAGAGTGTCTTCCTTTAAAGTTTAGGTGACTACATCATCTGTCATTCAGTCATACTGTGCAGCTTAACAATACACTGGAACAGTGTGTTTGCCCAGGTGAGTCTTTAATGTGGAACTCTGCAGAAAACATGCCAAACAAATTCATCAGTATAACAATACGTGTTCCTTGTGTTTCCACACTCATTTGATTTCAAAGATATTTATCTTAACAGGATAATAATTTGTGAAAGTCTCTGACATTTGTGGCTAGCTAGCATGATAATAAATCCATGGCTTGGAACATTTTTTAGTTAATTAGAGTCAATCAATCCAAACTTTGCTCACTTACCGGTGTGAAACCGGAGTATAATGAGCAGAAATCAGCATGGTGATTGGAAAACACAAATTACAGCTGTTAAAGAGAAACTCATCCACTTTTCTTCTGTTGATGCCAATGCCTGCTGCGAGGATTTAAAATTAGCATGGCATTCCTTTAATGGATGTTGGGGGGAATGTGCTCCTCTATAATTAAAAAACCTGTTAATATCCTCGTAGGCCAAAATAAGAGGGGTTAGTATGATTATATGACAACTCTTCAAAAGGACATCTTGGTCGGTTGACTGTTAAACCGAAAAAATGTGTCTGTATTTATTTCATTTTGTTTTATCACAAGGCCAGTGTTTCTATTAGAAAAATGTACATCTAAATGACCAAACACTGCTTTCATACAGTATATGCTGTTCAAATTAGTTTTCCTGTTTATGTGTATTATAAGAAAATGAAGTAACACTACATAATGGTGTGTGACCATACCAACGAGGTGGTCAGCACTGCAGCTTTAGTATGATCATGTGGCATATTAATGAACTTGCCTGATGTATGTGGGTCTTTGCTGTTAAAGGCTGTGTATGTCTCTATGGTCAGGGCTATATTCATATTATTCGTGACATAGTCCATGCACCTTATATTCATGGTGTAATGATGTGAGTAATAACGTGGTGATGTTAACAGCACCCTGCAATGGGACCTTTATCTATAGTATGATGACCCGGCTGCTAGTGGCCACAATGTATATGACCTCATCGCTGAATGTAATTTCCTCTCAAGAGCTCTTGGAAACAGAGAGCTTATGTTGTTGAGCTCATGTCGTCGGGGCCGGTAACAGCAGCTTGCCATTGTATTAATTATTGTCAGGGAATCCAAGGGGTGTAGATAATACAGAATGCACTGGTTGGTCCCATTTGTTTCACTTGTCAGTGGAGTGAATAATTGGGAGTGCTGACCATATTAGACACAGAGAATTTCTAAAACATACGACTCAAACAGTCGCAACACAAAAGTATGGCAGGGAAATTAAAAAGCTTAATGTCTGAGAATTTCAAATCAGTATGGAATAATTTGCTGGCTTCCCATTGCCAAAGGAATTTACTGAAGTTTAACTCTGACAACACTAATTCAGATTCAAAATAAAACATACACTTAAGAATATTGTTCTAAATTAGAGATTGTTTATTATTATATTTTACATTTTATTTTTAAAGAGATGCTATACATAGTACTTTAACATTATATTTATTTTGTTAAACATACAACTTTAAAGCATGCAGCATTTACTTCTCAGATAAGTGTCAAATATTTTGCTCCCCAACTTTATTCTTTAAAGGTTCGAGAACATTGATACAGTTTTAGTAGAAGGGGTTTGCTAATACAATGGGGCTCATCTTGCAATTCTCCCAAGGAATAACTATCAGTCCTGCTACAGCAGCTTTAGCGTCCCTAGGTGACCGCGCCACTGAGCCCGTGCTCGCTCCATCGCACCCCACTCCACGCCTGCTGCCACCCTGAAGGTAGATGCATCACGCTGGGGAGACTGCGCAACAGCAGCCCCCTCTCTCCCTCCAGCCCCCAAACCTCCTCCACGGCACAGTGGCCTCCTGCGGCCCCTACACATCTCCGGGTCTCCACTACAGCCCTGGTCCCAGCATCCCAGACTCTCCCTCAGGTGAGTCTCCATACCACCTCCATGTCTCCTCCCATCTGAACTGCACAACTGGTATCCTTTTGTCATTTGAGAAATGCCACACACACATACTGTACACACACACACACACAGAGACACACACACACACATGCTCCTGTGCTCACTCTGAAGGGGACACCGCCTGTTCCTTTCTGCTCACCTCCCGGCTGCCGGCTGACTCTCTGAGCCGTGTCTGTGGTGGCTACGCCATGTGTGGGGATCTAGGGGTTTCAAACAGCAGGCCTCCCGTACTCCCTGAATGGCAAATATAAGTGCCTCCAATTTATTACACTGTGGACGTTTTATGAATCATCTCTGACTAACTTTGATCTGAGATGACAAGCATGCGCTAATCAGTCCCAGTATCAAAATATATGTCAGAAATATTTAATCAAGTAAACATGTGACTGAATGAATTGGAAATGTCCAAATTCATCAGGATAAACTAAAGCTGCTATTAGAAATGTTACACTTGAACTAACCCTTTCACTTTCTGCTCACCTTTATAGATTGAACCGATGCTTCAAGTGAACTCATTTGTTTCTTTCGTGTCCAAGCTGCTCTTGGGAGGTGACAAACTGGTACAACCATTGCCACAAACAGTTACAGTTTCTTGGGACTCTGAAACAGAAACTCCCAATCAAAACCCCTTAAAATACCATATGGAAACTGTTTCCGTATCCAAAACAGTCATATCACATTATAATATTATTTCACACATGACTGTTAACTCCTCTAAGATCATATAAAATAAATGGGGATAGAAAGGAACCCAGCTTGTATTTAGACATATAATTAACTGGAACTGATGGTGGGGGGTCTTTAAATCGAACTGCTGATATACTGCTGCTTTACAATTTAGTATTTACTGTAACCTGCAGTTTGCAGGAATTTTGTCTCACTAAAGTCTCTTCAAAGAGGCTTCCTGCAGCATCTTCTGTTTCCCTCCCTGATTTTTTTTTATCAGACAAAAACCTTTAAACTATAACAGTTTCACTAACACATAAATTACAACTTTCACTTTATAGGTTGCCATACCACACCACACTTAGTTAACAAAATATTTTACAAACAAGATGCTATCACCCTCTCCATGATATTAATATGATATGTTCTCTGATCTGTAAACAGCTGGTTATCTTGCGTTTCCACGATAAGAGAAAGTGCTGAGGATTTACGCTTGGTGAGCACATTTGGGCTGAATCTTTCACACGTCACAAATTGCAGATGGGAAGCAGTGATCTTGAACAGCCGATCACATTTCCGTGACCATCTGACACCTTCCATTTAGGAAAATAATACTTTCTATCTTAGCATACCCCTCTGCAGCAGCCAGCAAAAGGAATTATGCCTGGTAGACTTTGCTATTCACAACTTTGGAGCTTCTCCTTTTGTTTTGTTCCATTGCACTGATTAGATTAAATGTTCACTCTTTAATCAGTTATTCAAGGCCACAAAAATGTCTTTGGTTTGTGTTGTTTAGTTTAGTTTTTGTGTTATAAACAACGAGATGTTCATGGTATAAGCATTACACAGGAAGTTGTGTAGTAGCTGAGGGTCAAATAAGGAGCTTATTAATCCATTTCACTGTATGAAGTAGATGATCAGTGGAATCTTTGTGAATCTTTTTCAGCAGCTGTCTCTTAATTCTCATATAACTGTTGTTATTTACTCTAATATCTTCCCCTCTATAATGTTGAGGACAAAAATACTTTTTACCCACAGAGGTAGATATGGTATCTGAGTAATATGACAGATAAATATGAGTCGGGTTAACTGGTACAGAGAGTTGTAAATCACTGTGGTGTGATTCTTTGTCTCAAAGGGTTTAATTAGTCTAGAAATTCTTCTCTTATCTGATGACCCCCCCTCCCTCTGCACACTGCAACAACTTACAACCATAAACGCCCTGCAATCTGAAGACCAGTGGCCTCAGGAGACTGAGTTGCTACAAAGAGCTGAAAGAGTTGGAAATGGTCATTTTATTGCGTTAGAATAGCTCGCCCGAGACTTGGGTAATGTAGTGCTAACTGAGTGCTAGCGCAGATAACAAGTATGTGACTCTGAAGTGAAATACAGTGAACTACTGTAATGCTCTGCAGTGTCAAGTGAAAATGAAGCAACACAATAATAGTAGTAAAACAACAATACAAACTGCTTTTTGTGGGGGTTTCAAAACACTAATTAATACTACAGTATTATAGTTTTCCTTCAGTGATGATGATTATTTTAGATGCAGTGCACAATCTAATCAGTCATCGCAGAGTTCATGTAGAATGAATTTGCTCAGTATAACTACAAGTGGGGGGGGATATGCAGGCTGCGTGCTTGTCAAATATTCAAACATCAAACTATGTTCTGGTTCCATCTCTTATAAATGCTACCTATATTTGGCCTGTTATTGCTTGACGGTAGCATGGTGTTGCTCTATTTCATAGTACATGAACAAACCCATTTATCCCTATCTGTCATTTCATAACTTGTGAGGTATCTGTCACTTCTGGTCCCACGGGAGTCCTGTATGTAAGTTTTGTTTTACTCTAATTGAGCTCTTAATTTAATTGACAGTTTATTCTGTCCTAATAAGTCATTTCTAGCTGCTTTTGATTGTATTTACAAGAATGCTATTTTTTTTGCTTATTTTGAACCTGCAGCCATCCGGTGTCAACCCAGTAATGATAAGGATGGCATTACCTGATTATTCATGAACAGGGTCATAGGAAGGATACAGCCTTAATTTAGATAATAAGATTAGGCGGCTTTGTTTCCCAGTTTTTGGATGTCAGTGTAAGACATCCAGACCTGGAGCCTGAGGCAGAAAGCTGGACAGCAGAACTGAAGGCTGTTTGTATACTGTGGTTGTAGTAAACAAAGGTACAATACAGTATTATGACAGTAACTAGATTTATAATACAGGACTGGAAGTACCTTGGGGCTTTTAGATTGGTGGTAGTTTGTGATAGAGTGCTGTGAATTTACACCATAAGGTCATAAGACAACAAGGAGTCTCATTTTCATTGATTCACCTGTCAGCTTGTTTTAATGGATAAAGGCCAGTCTTGTAGGCTTATTGGGTCTGTGGAGGTGAAAGTGTGAAGGCATACGGATATCCAACTAGGACTTTCACATACAGCACACTACTACATGTGCACTGATGGATGTTGTATTAGGTTTCAACCCTTTGTGTTTTCAGGCCTGCAGCTAGACCTCAGGTCGTGAAAGAATGACCCGATCGGACAAGATAATACTACACGAAAACACTGTATGTTATGTTAGACTTGCTTTTTTCTGTTTCATAACTTTACATCACTTTGGGTGTTTCATGGTGCACAGTGGCCTGGTTGCTTATGTCACATAGGGATGAAAAAGGGGGGGGGTTTTATAAGCTTTAATTCAACATCATAAACAAGATGTATACATTATAGTGCATATGGTATTTATGACACAGATGCAAAACTTGAGTTTGTGTAGAGCACCTTCTTTTGAAGGACTAGCAGGAGCAGAATGAGATGAGGGGTTATTTTGGCGATGGAGATTAAGGCAGGGGCTTTTTGTCATTTGTGCGAGACAAGCCATTCATCCATCCAGTTCACAGCCAAAAAAAGGCTGGTCCCAGAAATTAGCAGTTTCAGCTCAGCAGCAAAGTCGTCGGGCTGTGAAGGCAGAGAGAAATTGACTAATTAGCAATGCGCACTAAAACTTGACGGTTCTCTCTATAACAGCGAGGGAAAGACTCGGTTTTTCTCCCCCTTTCTCTTTTCTTTCTTCCATAGATGTTTGAAATCGCAGTCATTTACGCTCGACAGTTTTTACAATAGCCTTGAGCCATAATTTTGCGAGTCTCTCCAGCATCCATACCCCTGCATGGTCTCTCTCCACCGGCCATGCACGACCGTTTCTCTCCCCAACCGTGGATTTCCTATTACTCTCGTTACGACTCACTGAGCCCCAGGCCCAAGGATAATGATGTGTTGTTTCTTGGTAGCATAATTTGTCACACGTATATTTCTTCTTCTTCTTCTCTTGCAGAAAGCACAGCTCCCTCTCACACACTCACACACTTCTTGTTAATTCAGAAGAACAAATGATCAACGTCAACAAATAACCTGAAAATAGTGACTTTATGAGTTGGAATCAATGGTTATTTGGAGACACCACCGACCATAGACTTTAAAGGAAAGGACATTTCTTTAAAAGGAGAACAAAGGGGGAAATTCAAGTGAGATTATTTGGAAACCTGAAGCTTACTTTCTTTTTTTTGTTCAAGAGCTGAAGTCAGGTAAGTTTGGCTCCTTCTCACAGGCGAGCTGCTCACATCATTTAGTTGTGACAGGCGCTTTTAGTGAATCTGGCGACAACGTTACAGCACGCTTAGTGTCAAGTTTACACACATTACGCACATAGAAAATAGCTTCTTGTGCTGCCGAAGAAACAATAGATATGCACATTACGTTGAACTTTACCGAAAGCTGCATTTCAGTGAATATTTTTCGATACTCACGTCCGCGTAACTCAGGTAGGGCTAAAAGCGAAAAGGCGCCCGTACTGCTGCTGCTGGCGGCTCGGAGACAAAAACTAATTGCTTTTGTATGACTCCGTAAATCTGTGCGATGTGTAATGTCCTCATTGTGGGGGTGTGCGGCAAGATAGGAGATGGGGGGATAAGTGTTAGCCGAATGCTGCATGTTCTCCGTCCACCGTAGCGGTTGTCTCTCTCTGCCTTATCCGACAACTTCAGCCGCGTTACCGAGGCGCTGCAGCATCTCCGTATCCTCGGTTTGTTTTGACAGCGCCCTTCAAAAACCTCAGCCTCCATTTAAATCATCTCGCTCTCGGGTTAAGAATGAATAAGAGTGGCACGCCGTGGGAACTACTGCGTTTTTGTTTGTTGCTTTACGACCAGAGCTCAAAGTTGAAAGCGACTGAAGCCGTATTGGATGTAGATTCTCGCCGGCGTGATGGTCGTTCCCCGCTGGACGGACGCGAGACCTGTTCAATAACTTACTCGAGAAGTCGTTTTGCTATTTTTAAATAGTTGACTGCCAGCATCTGTAGGATAACGTTGTGTTGTGCAAATAAATGACCTGAGGTAAATGGCTTGCATGGTTTATTTGTTGCCTAGGTGGCGTTCACAGTCAGGAAGTCATGTCCAGATCGGGTGATAGAACATCCACCTTTGACCCAACACACAGTGACACCCTGCTGCACGGGCTCAATCTCTTATGGAGAAAACAGCTTTTCTGTGATGTGACTCTCACTGCCCAGGGACAGCAGTTCCACTGCCACAAAGCCGTGCTGGCATCCTGCTCCCAGTATTTCAGATCTCTCTTCTCCTCCCATAATGTAATCAACAATGAGGGGAGCAAAGGGGACCAGGGCAGCAGTGGGACCCCCTCATCCTCTCCTGATGACAAGCTGGTGACCCCCAGCGCAAGGCCCATCAATAACCTGGTACTCCAGGGCTGCTCCTCCATTGGACTACGATTAGTGCTGGAGTACCTGTACACTGCCAACGTGACTCTTTCCCTGGACACAGTGGAAGAGGTGCTGTCAGTCAGCAAGATCCTCAACATCCCCCAGATTACCAAGCTCAGCGTGCAGTTTCTCAACGACCAGATCTCTGTGCAGAACTACAAGCAGATCTGCAAGATTGCCGCACTCCATGGACTGGATGAGACCAAGAAGCTGGCCAACAAGTACCTGGTGGAGGATGTGCTGCTGCTGAACTTTGAGGAGATGTGTGCCATGCTAGATGCTCTGCCACCTCCTGTGGAGTCAGAACTGGCTCTATTCCAGATGTCAGTCCTCTGGCTGGAGCATGACCGGGAGACTCGCATGCACTATGCGCCGGACCTTATGAAGAGGCTGCGCTTCGCCCTTATACCTGCTCCAGAGCTGGTGGAGAGGGTGCAGTCTGTTGACTTCATGAGGAGTGACCCTGTGTGCCAGAAACTACTCCTGGATGCCATGAACTACCACCTAATGCCCTTCAGGCAGCACTGTAGGCAGTCCGTGGCCAGCAGGTGAGAACGAAACAGACAAACATATACAGATACAAAAAGAGAAACACAGACACAGAGTTCTCTCTCTTACACTCACTCACACACACACACACACACGGCCATGAGCTGTTTGAGAGTGGACGGAAGGCGATTAAATGCCTCCTACTTGTTAAATTTGAACAAATTGCCGACTCAAGTGTTGCCCACACGCTCCTACTGGTCCCACCGTCTGTGTAGTCTAGACCATGTAGGTGGTCAGTTAGAGATGTGAGGTTTGAGGCCTAGGTAATGAGGATTGTGGGGGGTTTTCCTGTACAAGAATGCCAGCTGTCAGGTTGCTTGATCTACTCTATGCTACACTGTATCCATAATTACAAGGTTACCTTATGTTTTAGCAAAGAAAAAACAACTCTATTTCCTCACACATCTGTGTAATTGCTCTCTAATCAGTGTAGACAAGATGCAGCAAACTAGATAAAGGCTATGCGTTTGATGTGTAGCAACTCTCATAAACACAATTTGAAATGCTGTAATTAAATTGTTACCAGAATTATATGGTAATTACATAACAATTCTGATATAAATACAATGATACTCCAGCTATTGAGGTCACAGTAACCCAAAATAAAATACAGTCAGAGGGAATTCATTATATTTGGGTATGTATTATATTTGGGAAAATGCAGGGACAGTTTGACAATGCTCTCTATATTCAGGGTGGACATGTCTCACTCGCACAAAAATAGGCCAAACTGCATGCCTTACATCTATGTTTGTCCTGATCAGCACTTTAAGGAGCTGATAAGTAGACAGACATGTCAGTAAGTTGATTGATTGATGGAGCTGTTGTCAGGTTTTGTTTACAGAGCTTACTGTACAGTAAAGGCTGGAAATCTTTTTAGCAGTGATGGCATCAATATTCAAATTTTGAATTCATTGCATATGTCTTTAAAGAGCAGAAAATTCAGAGCTGTGACATTGAGAATCTCCAAACTTGAAAATCTAAATTTTCACAAAGTAATTTTACAATTACCTATTCCCACATTATCCCAATAACATATCTATCCCCACATATGGACCTAAATGAGCAAAGAATCAGGAATCCTCATAATTAGTTTCACATGCCACTGTTTCTCTCCTCTCTCAATTAATCACCATTATCTATGTCCAGGGGCTCATTTGCATATGAATAACCCCAAAACACTTCAGAGTGGGCCAGTAGCAGAGAGAATGTACCGAGACGGCGGTGATTCTCCCAAGCATAAAAAAGTAAAATATGAAAAAGGAAAAAAAGGTGAATGTGACTGAATATAAAGGCCAGCTACTCTTAATCTTTTTACTGCATATTGTGATTAATTGCTAGATTTGTTTTGAAATCCATTACAAGCCAGATAATGGTCATTAATGTACAGTAAAGTGTGTGGCTTTTGGGTTATATATCATATACAAACAGCAGGAAATATCTCACAACTGGCTCAGAGATGTCACATGAATCACTGCAGCCAATGAAATTGAGACAGTGTATAGGCAGGTTTATGTACTCAATTGCGCTTTTAGCCTCCAGCATGGCACCCTGCGCGACCATCTTCGCTTCACAGCTAATTGAAAAGATATCTTTAGAGTACAATAACCATTCAATAACACGTCAAAGGGATAAGTACGCTGTTCAGCAATTTTTTTTGTTAATCATGATAAACGTGACCACATATTACTTGATTAGTAAGTTTAGTACTTGTACCCAGACGAGGAGCAGTCATTCATTTAACCATGCATTTGTTTTTTTGGTGACTGATTATTTCACTCATATGTTGCATGCATTCTCAGAGTGACAAATAAAAATATGGAGGGAAAGTGTTGTTGATGCTATCAAAGTAATTATGTAAATGAAGGAATTAAAGGTGTCCAGGTTCAGGTTGTGCACACTCCAGCCCTTGGATGTTTTATTTCAAGTCTCAATACCTGTTTTGTTCTTTGTTTCCTAACACTTGTCCACACACCCACACTTTTGACATTACAGAATCCGTTCCAATAAGAGACTGCTGTTACTGGTGGGTGGTTTGCCTCCTGGACCTGATCGTCTCCCCAGCAATTTGGTCCAGTACTATGACGACGAGAAAAAGACATGGAAGATCCTCACAAGTGAGTAGCAAAGGCTCTGCTGCTGTTTTTTTTTTTTTTTTCACCTGAGGCATCTTGTGTTAGTGGCTTTTATGATGAGAGAAAGTTGTTCCTATGGATGACTTTAACACAGGTTAATTTCCACAGGAAATGAGGGGAAGGAGTTCCCTAAATCCTTTAGGTAATAATGCATCACTATCACTTTTAATATAAATTTTTAATCAGAGCGTGACTTCACAGCACTGTGGAGCTTCATGCCCGGTTTCACTTGTTTTTGCTGAAATATGCTGGCAGGATGCATGATGAGATTTACTTGAATCTAATGATCTATTGTGGCAGAGATCTAACAATAATGAATGCCATATTTCTTCAATAGCTTTTAAATTTAGCTTGATTATTCACTCACATTGATCGATACGTGAAATTGAATTACCCAATACATACTAAAGCGCAGCATGGAATTAGCCTGTTGACCTATGAGTTAAATACCAAAGAGATGGATAGGATTAGTGCAACACAGGAGCCATACTGTTCATACAAACAATCAAAAGCAAATATATGATTTTAATTGACAAAATAGCAAAAATAAACAATATAAAATGTATCCTATAACATGTAGGAATTTATACTAGAGTACAGTTTATAATATTGATTTCAAGTTGTCATAATTTCCCCCCAAAATCTACTCTATTAAAAAAAATGTAGTGTCTATAGAAAACCTGTTTGAAGACAGGTTTACCTCTGTAAAGTGTACTGTGCTCTTTTTTCTCCCTGTCTTCCCTGACCTTTTAAGGCTCACCACTATATTGTTGCCATATTGCAAAGGTCAAACAGGAGCTAATGGGAAACCATATCTGTGCTTTGCATCATCATTGCCGGACATATTGAGTTTTTGTCCTTTTGTTTTGGTTGGAGACATATTTCAGCAGTGTCTCTTCATTCGTATACATTAGCCATAGGGTCTGTTTTCTGTCAGCTCGGTACTGTGCGGTTTATGATCTCAATTTATGTTTTTTTATTTATGAGTTTTTTTTAATGAATCTTGTGTGGTGTTTCTCTGGTTTTGTCGTGCGCTGTCTTAAATTCAGAAAAAGTTTTGGACATTGTTTCGTCCTCGAACATTTCTGGGCAGTCGTTTGTTATTTTAGCTCATGTTTGCTCAAAATTACCAGGGTGCATTTTTACCAAAGGAGCCATGCATACACAACAGTCTGAGACTCACTGGTGTTTATGTTGTCATTTTCTCATTTAACTCACACTCATGGGTATAAACTGCAACAAGCAAAAGGTCAATAGGGATTTCCATCACTCAGAACTAAAAAGTTAACACTCAAATGGTCCGTGGCCAAGTGTAAGGACAAAACTGCAAAATCATCCCCTTAACACATCAGTGACCATCTGATGTAGCCTCTACACAATGGATGTGGAATAGAAGATTATTAACATTCAATCATAACTTTTCAATGAGGCGAAACCTGAGAGGGACAGCCTTTGATTAAGACATTCATCAACACAATTTGGGAAGAATCTGATCCCTCTCGTTGTCTCGGATATATATCTACTGCTCGTTGATTCCAGTGTAAAGTTTGCCATCTAGTGTACCCAAAGCAGCGTGGACGAGCACAAGACAAAGGCAGGCACAGGCTCAGCCACAATGCTGGGCTATTTTCCTCTCCTTCTTCTTTAAACCAACCTGATATTAAAATCTCCCACTTGGAAATGGACCTCATGCATGCAGCATGGCCTAGAACAAAGGAATTCAGCTCAGTGGGATGCAATTGTAATGGTGTTAAAAGCACGTCAGAGCTCGAGCAGCAGTGGTGCATTAGCTGTGGAGTCATTCAACCAACCCCGACTGTGCCTCTATGCAGAGGTTTCTGACTCCCTCTAGTGAGCCCTAGAGCTCACTGTAGACTGGAGTGATGGCGCCCATCTCGTAGAGGACTTGCTCATTCTGCCCTCCTATGGCTGTTCACCCCTGGGGTTAGTGGAAGATGTAGGAAAGGGGTCACTTAGGTATATCAATTCACACTCTTTCTCAGGCGATAATTCTCAGTAAAGTCTTACATATTGTAGAAGGGAAAAATAATTTATATGTTTTATCATTACCACTGCAGAGGACTATTACAGTGGTCTCAATTATTATAGCCTGCCACTTATCCCACTGTTCACCTGTCTCTGAGGAACCTGTAGAGGTAGGGCAAATGTCCCAAATCCTCCCACAGCACTCCTCATACTGTAGCCTGTGACATACTGTAAAGCAGTAATCTTCTTCTCACATGGGTACAAGATGATTTTTAGTATGAGTACAAGTCGCTAGACATCAAATAAAAAGCCGCCCATCCGTGTCCTATATACTGCTGACTGAATGATAATGTAAATAGCATGTAAGGGAATTTGGCAGTCATATGGCACTCTTCTTTGAGGTGCACTGGAGGCAGGCAACCTAATCCCCTCGTTCGAGATAAAGCTGTGTTTAGTGTATGTAGTATTAGTTCCTATCTGAGACTCCCCTCCCATAGAGGACCGGCACATGTCAGCCAGCCAGAGTGAGATTGCAGGGAGAGGCCAATTGGAAAGAAATGAGATTCAAGGCTGTCTAATTTTGCAGCAACTGTGATCCATCAGGCGTTGGGGAGGTGACAGTGGAAATGACTGATGGAGACAGACAGGTGGGCTTTAACATTTCACTGATTTGTGCTCAAAAAGCACCGGGCCTGAGATTTATTGAGTGAACACGATCATGTTCATTATGACTGTCACCTAAGACCATTTCTCTACATCTCAATGGGGTCACTTCAGCAAAAGAAGATGGAGGAGAGGAGGGGAGCACGAAAACATACACAAGGGGAAATCCTCCACAAAGGGGTCCTGCTGCAGCTGTGGGCTTGTAGCTGTTTATGCTAACTTGTGCTAAAACCTGATGAGGAGCATGATGCAGTAAAGATCACATTTATTGGATGTTCTGAATATGTTACTAGATGAACAGCTGCTGTGGCATAATGTTAGCAGGAGAGAAAAGGGTTGCAGTGTGAAATTCAGTCATGAAGTACTGACTGGTCCCAAAATACAAACTCATATACGTCATCAGATAGATGTAGATGGATAAAGGAAAGGTTACAAAACAAAAGCAATGAGGAGAGGAAATAAATCCTATAACGCTGACTCACACTGAGTATTGTGAAATAGCCTGTTGTGATGAGTACATTGCAAATTAAATCAATCTTGACATTAATATGTACTATGAGCCCTCCTTGTCAAACAATAGGACACGCAGCATGACAAAATAAAAATAGTAACTGATTGAGAAACACTGCCAATGCAAATATTGCTTATTTAAAAGTTAATATTCAGTAGATGTTTTTTGCACAATTTCATTGTGACTAACTTTTATTGTCCAGACCAGGAGACCTGTATTAAGGATCTGCAATTAGGTTCAGTTTTTAAAGCACTGTTTAATAATGGGCTAATGTAGTTTTACAATATATTTTCTTTTTTAAGTATTATTGTAGAATATAGAATAAAATTGATTAATGAAACTGTTTTAGGATACCTGATGGCAGATCAATATATAATTTAAGTATGTTAAGTGCCAACAGAGTTATGGACATTTATGTCATCTTGGCAAAGAACAAAAAACAACTCATGTACTCAGGATTGCATGTTCTATGTTGCACTATGAGACTGGAGATGTAATTGATAGGTTATCAACACTTAATAAACAGTGGCTTTATTAATTTATTGATTAATGAAAGTATCGTTTTTGTTTATGTCCTAGAAAAAGTTATCAACACGCTATTAATTTTAAACCACCACTTATTTTGTTTGTGAGAGGCAATTCTGTAAAGCTCAAACAGGTGTTCATGGGGTATCGAGTGTTATTTATCTGGTAAATTTATTAGACTTTATTTTAGCACCAGGGTTAGGTATGGTCTAAATAACCTGGTTTATGTGCTGCTCTAAATTTAGGGGCATTACTTATTATGTAATGATACAATGTCAGATTTATTGGGGTTTATTAGCCTTGTATTTATAATGTTATTTACTGTACATTTATGAGAAATCATATAAATGTTTTGGGTAACACTTTATATTAAGGTACACGTATTCAACATTGACTAGTTGCTTATAAGCATGCATATTAGTAGCATATTGGCTATTTATTAGTCATTATAAAGCACTTAGTAATGCCTATTTTGCATGATCATATTCTATAACTAAAACTAGTTTTTCCTCAATAACTTCCTAATTACTTCTTACTGACAGTAAGCAACATAAATTACAATTAGTTCAAATGCTTTGTTCAGTAAGGGCCTTAACAGATGGCAGTACCACAAAATAGTCATTCTCTCTTAATACGACCTATTAAATATGGTCTATTCTTATGGAGCAAAAGATAGATTATGTTGATTGTTACTGACACCTAAGACCGTTTCTCTACATCTCAATGGTGGCATGCCAGCAAAAGCAGATGGAGCAGAGGAGGGGAACACAAAAACATACACAAGGGGAAATCCTCCACAAAGGAGTTCTGCTGCAGCTGTGGGCTTGTAGCTGTTTATGCTAACTTGTGCTAACACCTGATGAGGAGTATGATGCAGTAAATATCATATTTATTGGATGTACTGAATATATTACTAGATAAATAGCTGCTGTGGTATATTTTAATGTTAGTACTAGTACCATAAGAATAGTCATTCTCTCTTAATAATACTTATTAAATATGGTTTATTGTTATGTAACAAAACACAAAACTACAAGTGTTAATAGTTTCCAAATAACTCTAAATTCCCATTCTAAAGTAAGGTATTACTCGTAACTTAAACTTAATCTGTAATAATTAAAAAATGTTTTATTTCAAGTTGAAAACAAGTTTAATAGTTCAAAGTGTGACTGTGACTTTGACCCACACTGAGCAGTGCATATTAGTTATGGGAAAGACCTCCTTGCTTAGCATCAGTAAGCAGTAATTAGCAGGCTGTTGAGGGAAAAGTCTTACGGCCTAGTAGTTGTCGAATATGGTCATGCAGAACAAGACAATAATAAATGCTTTATATTTACTAATAAAGAGCCAGAATGCAAGTTAGTTAATTGTGACTGTGTGCACCTTAATATAAAGTGTTGCCAAGTTTTGATTAAAACTATAAAAGTCAGGGTCACATTTTGCCCACGGGGTACTATCTACCTTCTGCTGACCTATAACATTGACATGTTTTAGTGATTGACACCTTTGATTTTTGTGTCTTGTCTAGTAATGCCTTACAACAGCGCCCATCACTGCGTGGTGGAGGTGGAGAACTTTCTGCTGCTGCTGGGCGGAGAGGACCAGTGGAACCCCAACGGTACAGTAACACCACAGACTGAACGTCTTGCTTTTCAGTGATTTCACACAGCACATTTGTCAGTGTTGACTTAGTTTAGAGAGCGCTCTGAGCCAGAGTTGATGCAAGTTCAAAGCCATCAGAGTTAATGTAACACTTTCAGATAGTTTCAAACACTCATCCTAGAGCCAGATCAGCTTTGAGTGGACAAACAACACTCTAGTCAACACTTGTCAATAATTGGCATAGAAAAATAACTGTTATTAACACTGAAATATTTGTGGTGTAGAAGTGTTAAGAGTGCTTTTTGTGAAATGGTGGTTACGGACTGCCATATAAGAAACAAAGACTGTAAATGATCAAACAATCTAATGCTGTCCTTTTGTTCTTATTCCACAAAGTATCACAACAATAGAGTGCTGCAGTCAGTCGGGTTTGTTTAGCTCTGAGAGTAAAAATCCACACAATACAAATCCTCATTAGAGATCATTTAAGAAGTCCTGAACACATTATCCTCTAAAACCAGATCACTCTCTGACTGGAAAAACAAGACTACAACACTTGTTAACTACAATTATCATGTGTGGGCGGTGATTTTCAGATAATATGTTTATATTAAATGAAGACTTGCAGAGTCACAGTTGTGCATTTCATTGGTAGTGTATGTAACAAGGACGTTGGCAAAGAGTTAGCCAATTAAAACTGAGCACTGCCATTATCTGCTTAAACTGTATCATACCATAAAGACTCACTCAACTACGTCATTTGAGTAATCAGTGTTGTTGATCTTGATTTTTATCTGTTTTGCAGGAAAGCACAGTACTAATTTTGTCAGCCGCTATGATCCCAGATTCAACAGTTGGATACAGTTGCCTCCTATGCAGGAGAGGTAAGTCTGTTCATATATGTGTACCGTTCTTCTGATGATGCATGAACAAACTATAGGATTTTTCAGGGTTGTTGGAAGAAATGCACAAATATTGTTGACTTCTAATAAGTCAAATATTAAGAAGATAAACAAAATTGTGCTAAAATGAAAATTATTTAAATGTTTTATTAGTATTTGCATACAAACATTATATAATGCGTTCTGTTTATTTAAGGTTAGAGTATAAAATAAAAAGAGCTTTTTGAAATATAAAAATAAGTACACACACTACACTGGCAGCTGTGAGCACCCACAAACAGGTCCTCACAGCTGGTAAATGTGTAACTAGCCCTAAGCAGTTAACTTATTTCAAATCAATTTTTTCCACTTTACACACAAACTGTGGAAAACCTTGTCATTGCTGGTTTAATGATGTTGTCTGGATGACACTTCATTCCTCAGGAGAGCCAGTTTCTTTGCCTGCCGCCTGGATAAGCACCTGTACGTGATTGGTGGTAGGAACGAGAGCGGCTACCTCTCCAGCGTGGAGTCCTACAACCTGGAGACCAATGAGTGGAACTACGTGTCGTCTCTGCCGCAGCCCCTGGCAGCCCATGCAGGAGCCGTGCACAACGGCAAGATCTACATATCAGGTGAGGAGAGAACCCGTCACTCAGTCAGACTTATTATCCTATCTTCTTCTGTCATGACGCTTTCTTCAAATAATTTAACAATCACTCTGCTACATAAAATATACAGAATGTTCTTTTTAAAAAGGTGCCTAATGTTCCTTTTGAAAATGGTAAATACATCCCTTAAAAAATGTATATATGATAGAACAACAGATCACAGTATCAATCATCTTATCACAGATGGATAATGCGTTGTTGTCATATTAAAACATTGACCATAGACAATAACTATAAACACATATGCAGTACTGAATAAAGTAGTAGTGGAATGTGGTTAAATACATTTAGAGTCTGTTTACACCTGGCATCTCCATGTGCATCTCGAGTGACCATTAGTGATCTGATCTTACGTACCCGCTCTGTAGGGCTGTATCCTACTGTTCTGTCAGTCAGTGTCCATTCTATTTTTATTTTTTTTACTTCACTGACACACTAGCCCATTGCTTTTACCTGCGCTGTCAGCAGCCCCGGAGGAAAGACGTTACTGCGCTGTGGGATTTTATAACTGAACTTTATGAGCAGGACACCCGCTTTTTCGACTGTGTGGAAATCTGATGTTTTCACATCACAGATGACAAAGAAAGACATTATTGCCAGAGGAAGTAGAAGTGTGCATCCTGCTCCCACCGTGAAAGCGTCTCTCCTGTCGCGGGGCTGCTAACAGGCTGTCAGAGAGTCACTCACAGTGGACGGCAGTAGAGGAGGTTGTTCCGCCGTCTAGCCAACACGCTGGGAAATAACTCTGTAAGAAATAACTTAATGTGTAACGTTTCCTGAATGCACAAGATGGCCCAAATAATTAACAATATGGTGTAGATAACGTTTCACAAACTTTATAAAGTTTCTCCTCACTCAATAACTCTAAAATTGTGTGATTTTTTTTTAAGGGAGTCTGGGGATATTGCGCTTACTAGTTCAGTGGTCAAATCAATTGAAATAAACAGTGTGTTCACAAACATCTTCTGCTTATCTTGGCAGGTAAAAGAGCCCAAGCACATCATTTGCATTACAGGGAGCGTGTTTCGTTTGTACTTACAGGATGTCAGTTAAGTTGGCGGTTGTTCTGTGTGGCCCAGGACACATTAGTGTTTATACTACAGAAGATATGCGTCCCAGAACACCTCGGCAAGTGGTTTTATTGATCGGAATCACAATGTGTCCCGGCAGTTGTTTACACTTGTATTTAGAGCTGTCCACTTGTGATCGGATCACCCAAGGTGCATTCTGATACCAGGTGTAAACAGGCTCTTACTCAAGCACAAACAGTTTTACTTTTTAATATTTAGAATATTTTCTTTTTCCTATCACCAAATATTTTTTACTCCAATTAATTTGTTTGACAGCTACAGTGGCTTAATTTACTTTGCAGATTTTAAATACAAAACATGTTATCAGTTTAGAAAATGAATCTTTTAAACTCACTTTTTTCACATTTTCAAAGACCTCAGTTCCAACAAATGTTTCGCACAGCTCCCTCTGAAGACAGAAAATGCTTTACTCAACTTTTTTCACAAATGCAATAGTACTCCCCAGGACCTAAACAGACTTTGATGAGTGAAATCAGTGGAGTTCCTCTTCAATCAGGAATATGTGAGCCCTATATCTTTTTATCCTCTGGCCATGCACCTTCAAGTGAAAAAATGAGGTCCAATTTTCAAAAAATTCTCTCAGAGGCTGGACAGAAATATTCATAACGAAATTTTTCTTCCTTAAAGACATGACTGAATACCTGGTTTACGCTTTGATTTGATTGTCACCAAGTCTCTTGCAAAGTGCCTCGAAACCCCACAATATAATACCAACTCAATATAACCTCTAAAGTCTATACAATACTTATACTTTCTAAAATCTATAACGATATCTTTTGTTTCAGTGACATTTAAATCAAAGGCTCATCACGCCAACACAGAAAGTCATAAACTAAAATCCTTCTCTTCCAAAAGCTGACTATCACTGAATCATCTGTGAACTTTACGACGTGACTATTGTACTGTACTATGCAGCACGCCAGTCATTAAAATATTAGACTGAAAGGAGGGAACAAAGGCACCAACCTTCAGTGGAACCTGTGTTTGAATAGAGCTGGTTAGAGAAGGCGCCATTAACTCTGACGCACTGCGATCTATCAGAAAATAAATTAAATAATGAATGTAGACAGTGATACAAAGATCAAGTTTAAAAAAGAGCCCTAAAAGGGTCTCTGTAAGCACATGTGGCTGGATAGTATTCAATTCAAAGAGTGAAATCAATAATGTATAGGTATTAATCATATGTTGAGATACACATGTCAGTTTGCCCTACAGAGTTTATTGCATGAGCAGCCAGTATGTCACAGTATTAAAGGCACAGTTCTGTGTTTACCTGTTGCAGGAGGAGTTCACAATGGAGAGTACGTGTCCTGGCTCTACTGTTATGACCCTATAATGGACGTGTGGGCTAGGAAACAGGATATGAACACAAAGCGTGCCATTCATGCCCTGGCTGGAATGAACGACCGCCTATATGCTATTGGTGGAAACCATTTGAAAGGTAAGTACTCGAACATTTCGGGGAAATAAACAGGAAACGGGTCAAGATTGATACTTTTTTGTGTTTTTTTTGCTGTGTGAAAGAGATGCTGCCATTATGAGCAAGCGATGATGACCTTTATTACACTCTGTGACCTATATTCCCTCTTCTCTTTCACTCTTCATCATTCAAGGCACAAAAGGAAAAACTGAACAAAAAACTGAATTGCTATTACGTGTTTTGTGTTTGATCAGCAGAACTGAATGCTTGCATCTGAATGGGAGCTGAAATTGAATGTGATATTCTGAAATACAGTCTTACACTGCTAATTAAAAAGACTGTTAAATGTACATTCAGTGTACATGGTTTACAATTTGAAAACTAATTGACTTTTCACTTCAAATACAGCTCATGAAAACTTTTTATGAGTGCGCTGAGATCTGTCACAACTGTATTCACATTCATTGTCTCTGGCTTGTGATTCATTATGGTGTGTGTGTGTGTGTGTGTGTGTGTGTGTGTGTGTGTTCATGTCTTTCTTTGTGGTTTATATTTGTGGGATGGATGTGGGTTCTTCTATTCGAGTGTGTGTTTGTGCATCCATTTCAGTTTAAAACACATACACAGCTTTCTTGAAGGGAAATGTGCTATATTAAAACATGCCTTGCCTTCAAATTGTGGCAATTCTCAGGTGTTCGGGAAAAAGCCGGCTCTTGTAAATATAATCAACCAGGCTTCAGAGGCCCTGGGAGGAATGAATGAAGGAAAACAAAGATTCTCTGGACTGATCCAGATGTCAATGTTTCATCTGTTGTTTTTTCCTCTGTATTTACCTGCATATATAGTGGTTATCATGTTGTTATTAGTATATTGACTGAGCACCAAGTTTAAAGAAAAACAGGCAGTACATTAATTTGGACCTACTGTGCAATACCAGGGTCTGTTAGCTGCAAACATTCAAAACTTGATTTCAGATCTCTGGTACATATTTCTCTATAACATTAAGTAAAATGACAAACAAAATGCAAAAACACCCTTACAGCTGTCTTCAGATTTTGATTTTAAATGTTGTTAAATACTTATTGGTGCACAGAAGTGTCTCCAACAGAGTCCCGTCCACTTCAAATCAGTAAGAAACACAGAAAGAACTAAAACTGTTCTTACTTTGGCTGAAGATTATGTGTTCAAGAAGCCATCTCTCACAGTAAGAAGCTGATTGTAAAAATTTGGTTTTCAGGGCGTTTAGAGTCAAACAAGCAGCTTATTCCTGTAAACTGGACCTACAATTACAGGAAATAATAACCGAATGTGATACACTGAAGTGCTATCATTATTTTAAGATGTTTTTCTTCTTCTGTCGCAAAGGTTTCTCCCATCTAGACGTGATGTTGGTGGAGTGTTACGACCCAAAAGCTGATCAGTGGAACATCCTGCAGACACCTATCCTGGAAGGTCGCAGCGGCCCGGGCTGTGCTGTTTTGGATGACAGCATCTTCCTCGTGGGGGGCTACAGCTGGAGCATGGTATACTCTTACACACGAGATTAGTTTATATTGAAGGATAAGAGTGGCAAAAAAATGTGTTATTATCAGCGAATCAAGATGAAAAGACCAAAACCAACAATGTGTTTGTCTCAATTCTTTCCAACTTCCCTGCACCCTTTATATCTTTAAATCATTTTCTTTAACATCTGGACACTGTAGTTTTTAACAAATGTTGCTCAAACTCAAAATATTGGATCTGTCAGGGACTATTTTCAGCTGTGGATTAATACACACTTACAGCAGGAGGACATATTTGGGACTAACAATAAACTACAGCGTCTGGGTTCATGGTAACGAAGGATTGTGTCGCCCAGTGCAACAATGATGTGTTTTTAATAGTTTTTGGTCAACAGTTGAAGTCTGTTGCACAGAGCAATAAGCTATATTATACTAGAATCAGTTCATTGTTGATTTTAGTCTTTTTTTTTTTTTTAAATTGGCAAAAGATAAATATAGAAAATCACCAGACTTTATTCTTTAAAGTTTTTGCTGCTTTATTTTTTGACTACACGCCTTTATATAAAAAACAAGTTTTTCCATTCCAGAAATCCAAACAGCACCAAGAGGAATAAAGAGACTGACTTGATTTTCTTTTTTTCCTCAGGGGGCCTATAAGTCTTCTACCATCTGCTACAGCCCAGAGAAAGGAACATGGACAGAGTTGGAGGGAGAGGTGGCAGAGCCCTTAGCGGGCCCAGCCTGTTCCACCGTCATACTGCCTGCCTGCCTTCCCTTTAACAAATGACAACTAAAGGCGAGTGAGGAGCGGCGGAGTGAATGGGAGGAGGACCATCAATAAGCAAAACAGTTGTCAACAATTTTGTGACAAACCCTCTGGTCAGACGACGGGGGTGTGTATAAATTATTTTTTTACAGGTTTGACCAGAGCACTTTCGTTATTCCCTACTGAAGGTTTGAAAAAAAAAAAAAGAAGAAGAATTGTGTAACTCATGTATTTAAACTCATCTGTGTTCTGAGAAATGGTCAGTTTCATATTTGATTTAATTTAAACTGATAGTAAGTGTTTTTGGCTTCTCTTCTATAGCACGCATAGTGTTGAACTGAATTATAGCTTTCAAATCCATTGTATCTTGTATTCAGTAGAGGCATAATTCCAGCAAAATGCAGTGTTGTTTCCTGGACTGACACTGGGAGTAATGGTGATCAGTCCCAAACTGTCATGGGGTTAAGTTAACTAGGGCTGGGTGGGTTACATTAACCGTGATGATCAAAGTGTATAAATATTCTTCATCACTAATGGTACAACTCATTTTTCTCTGGCTGGATTGTGCACTTATCCCCCTGCATCACCTGGTTGGATCATTATGCAACTGTTGCGTTCTTTCTCTGAAAATGAACATATTTACGTGTCTAAAAAGTTTCCAGAAACATTTCCTAACTGCAGTTGGCATTATTTAACTGACATACAAACAAAAATACATTGCAACTAGACATGCCAGCAGGTATCCCGGGGTCTAAACACTGTAAAAAAAAAGACACAGTTACACAATGATCTTCATGAGGATGTGTCCATGTCACCCAGCTCTAATTTTTAACAAATTATCTTAATCATTTACACCCAGACTGAAGTCGTGTTTCTGTATAACTTGTTGAACACAGAGTTCCTTACAGGTTATCTGCTTGACAGAAAAAATCTTGCCAAATGTTTGTGGCAACTATTCTTCGTGGTGCAAACAAAACAATTTAAGGTTTACCATTGATTCGTAAATATTCCTATGACGCACTAATTATACTATGATGGTACAATCAAATTGTAATTGCTAGCCAATGTATTTATGGGTAGCATGTTTGGGTAAACATATGGAGAGAACAGTAGTTTGGTTTGTTCTCCTTCAAGTTAATGCTAACAGGCCCGTTTATGAGGCCACGTAGCATTACCTTTATGGGATTTTAATCTTTAATGTATGAAAAACAAACAAGCATACAGTGGTCCTTAATGCACTAATGGTGAACTTTTAATTCAGCACTTTTAATTCACTACAATGTAAATTAATTAATGTGCTGTGTTTAAAAAAATGATCTTCAGTACGAATGAATCAAAGTCCAGTTTAGTCTACGTTACTAGGTTCGAAAAGTTGACTCTAAATATCGATGCAGTACCTGTTCTGTAAAGATTTGTTGATTTCATTCTTGTACATAATCGCTTGCAGTGAAACATTTTTGTGCACTCAACCTTGGATTTATTCTCAAATCCTGTTATGTCCTTTGCATTTTAGAATATGAAAATAAACTGACTCTTGATGATTAAAATACTTCTTTCAGTTATTTGGCATTTTAGATGGAAAATGATTTTCTTCTTGAGATAATTCAGCTTTTTTTAAAGACAACGTTGTCCATTATTGTAGACATACTGTGCTAAAACTGACTGAGATGGACTTGGAAAATGATGAAAAACATATTTCTACCATCACATTTTTCAAATCATTCTGAGTTTTTTCTTTTTTTTTCTTGGAATAGGTTTCCGTCTCAAAATGTAATCACATGAATCAACCCAAAGAGGCAAAATCATTCTCTGGTTGAACTGTTCACCAATCAAGTAGGAATTGCTTTAATTTTAAGGAATCATGAAACCAAAAGTCTGTAAGCCACTGAACACAGAAGGAGATCTGTGCAATAACTCATCTAAATGATTAAAGCACAACTTCACATTTTGATAGAATGAAGCTCAGATGCACAATACATGCCAAGTGTTCACAACTCATAAGAACAAGAAAAATATGAGTTAATATGTAGTTGTGTCAAACTAGAGACTTCGATACTTGAAGACTCCACTATAGTTGGCTGGACTGCAGCTCAATTCATGTTAATATGAGTTGAAGAACAATTAATTTAACTTGCAGTTGACTTCCACAGCCCCAAACACCACTCATAGATTGACTGGTGTAGATAATACCAATAAAGACGGTACAATTATTAATAAATCTGACCTTGAAACACTTTAAGATTAAAAAACACACAACATTACACCAGGCAAGAGTCTGTAAAATGTGAACCAGCAAGCATACAAAGCGAACCTGATGTTTACCTTCAGGGCAGCCTCTCATGCCAGACCAGATTTGATTTGCCAACCATTTACTACCAACTGTCTCATGCACCAAACAGCATGCCCGTCCCCCAACACATACACCTGATGGTTTGTTTCTAATGTCTTCTTGTTTTGTTTTTTCTTTCAATGGCAGCAGTTTCTCTGCTTGGCGTCTCCACTTCATGCATCCACTTGGCCTTGTGCCTGGAGGATAAGACGGCAATTATTTCCTCACAGAGATGATTCTGCTAGATTACATAAATCCATATCTTATTCACACAATATGGCATCGGGACGTAAGAAAATACTCAGTGTTCTTCTTGTCACAAAATCCTTGGAGACATGTCTGACAACAACCGCTGAGATACTGCAGAGATATTTGTGTGCTACCTCTGGACACACCATAGGGGGGGGGGGGAATGAAACAATAACATAATCTTGATTAAGACAAAGATTTAAAAAGCCGTCCCAGGATAAAAATTAAAAGGTTTAGACAGAGAAATACTGAGTTTGAAGTCTTCATTTACCCTTCGGTGTTGTTGGTGGCAGATGGTTCCTGCTCTGCTCCTGGTCCCACTGCTAGCACCTCTTCCCCAGTTTAGGGAATAACAGGATTGGTTAAAATGAACACGGCTGACCTTTTAATTAAGTACATGGACCATCGTGGCTCTGTTTTAATCACAGAAAAAGCATTCTCTGTCCTTGGCTCTAGTTTCATAATAGTACAGACACAGGACACTTTAAAGTGTCTTATACATTTAGGAGGAAAACCTTGTCTTGTTTATAATATATGAAGTTAATAAATTAGATTGTCATTAATCAGACTTTCAGTATTACTTCTTTCTCTTTTAGTTTTATAAATGAACATCTTAATTCTTAAACCTATATGTTGGATCTGTTCCTACAAACAATGTAGCTGCAGGCTTTCCTTTTCATATTCAATCTTTTTTTATGCCTGCTAACATCAGACTCCCTCTCCTGATGTGTGAGAGCCACTAAGTTAGAAAATACATATAATGAAACATTATACTTTAATCCTGCTGTACTTCACCTGCTAGAGTCGTATTTTTAGAATTAATTTGTATGATTTTCCTTTCTTCTATGCAGCAACTCTGTGTTCTGCATCTCTGATTACTCTTTGTCAGTTCACTTTCTCCTCTAACCTGCAAAAAAACTTCTGTGAGACGTATTTAAGAGATAACAACATAGTTTGAACAGAGAGTCGATACACTTAAATGGATTAATTTGAAATACATACTAAACTAGATGTAAACTAGTTTTTAGTGATTGCATTAAAGGTCAGCTGAACATGCAAAAATGTGCAGTTTGTCTATAGATAAACATCCAACACAGGAATAATGCTGTTTACAATAATAAATAAATGATGAATAAATAGAGGCAGTTCTTTCAAGGATCAATCAACAAATGCTTTTAAACTCAGTAAAACCAATTTTCTTTGAAGTTGAATATGTTCTTTGGTTGATCTTTCCTAATGTCATTAATGTTACAGTAGCCTATATCCAGTCTTCTGTGTCACCATTAAATAATAATATCAAATAGAAAGAGTAATTGGCAGTAATTTAGAGTCTTTATCTATTTATGTACTTTATTTTTAAGGGTGGAATGAACTGAACGTATATTGTACTTTATACTACTCTATGATTATTTGACAGGCTATTTACTTTACATATTAAGATTTAACACACATCTTAAATAGGCTATATTGTTATATATAACAAGACCCAACAGTATTAACAGCTTAAATATTACATTAAAAATAATAATCTAATCTCATATGTAATGTTACACTGACAGGAGGCAGTGTTATAGCCTATATTTACATTATATATTTATTAAAACTTCTGTACTTAGCTACCTCTAGTGGTTATATTGGTGCATGTAGCCCATATATATATATATATATATATACATCACATATCACATATCACAGGTGTTATCAATGATACTAATTAAGGTTCTGTTCCATTTAGTGTAGCAGAGCCTTTCCAATGAGCCAACAGGCTCAACAGCAGCACTCTGACTAACCTGAATGGAACGGAGCCATAATCAGTACCATTAGTAACACCTGTGTTTGTGCTGCTATTTTATGTAAAAATGGCTGCTGTGAAAAAAGGTCTGTTGCAACCATTGACAGAATATATTGTATCATATAGCAACCAACTGAATACTACTAGCCTTACAAGGTTTGTCCAATCTGGGCTAAACATGGCGGTCCAACATGACGGCCTCCTGGAAGAGGACCCACTCCCTCTGTAGATAAAAACAGCTCATTCTAAGGTAACAAAAAAACAACTATTCTTATTTTCAGGTGATTATTATCACTAATTAGGTAAAAAAAAATACCTGTTAAAGATTATATACATATTATATATACTGAATACTTCTTTCACTGCTCCTTATTTACTCAGAGAAATGTCCTAGTTATACCCAAACAGATGCACTGAGAAGAGTAAAAGAGAAAACGGTAATAACAGGAGGTAATATGGGGATGGGTGTGGAGCTATAAAACCTATACTGTGAACCTCTGATGTGAAATCCCTCATTCACTGAACCTGCTGGGCGTCAGGTATGTGGCTATAGTCCACCATCTAGTGGTAAACATACCCGAGCGTTTGAGTTCACACCCGACCCTCAGAGGAGCAGCCTGTAGACCTGTTGCATTCATCTCTCCCACTAAACAACTCATCTCATCTCTGCACAGGTAAATAACTTTTCCTCCTTTGAAGCGACTGACTGACTGACTGACTGACACAATCCTACTCGAACTCCTTAAATGAAGTTTTTGAAAGGAAGCAGCCGTTCATCATCCTGACCCACATGTAAAGTGACTCACATCACCGCAAGCGAGCGGAGTGAAGATGATGGGGATTATTTCCATGCTTCGCTCTTGTCCCCATGCCTGTTTACGTTCATCTGAGCCACACTCCCCTGGCTCCCAGCCACCCCGCGGTATTTATAGCCAAACAGCGGCAATCATCACTCAAGGAATCCTCGCAAAATCCTCCTCAAACCACTAAACTTGGGACTTGAGTGTTGAGGGGCTGAATTTAGGATCCACCTGATCGCAGGGAGGAGGACGATGAAGGAGCGCGCGTCGCCTCAAGGTAAAGCTGTCAAATTCATTAATCATTTCATTAGTTAATTGAGATTTATTTTTCTTTCTTCTTGTCGCGCTGCATTCATCCTCTTCCTCCACTGAACATATTTTTTTTATTCCCAGCGTCTTATTCATCTATTTTGCACTTGTTATGACTGCTGCTCTCCTCACTGGGTTGTGCGTCAAACACTTAACTACGCCAGAAGAAAGAAACAGCATCCTAATTAGCAATACCTGTTAACAGGCTAGTTAATGTATTTCTACAAGGACTGCAGACCTGCAGCTGACGCGCACAAATTAAGAGGAGGAGGAGGAGGAGGGGTCCGCCTGTTGTTTCCCGTATAGGCTCTACAGTGGTTGCACTAATTAAAAGCGAATTAGATTACAGCCAGGAGCTAAAAATTATTTGAATTTAAAACAGAAGAAGCATCTCCACGCAGGTGTTTTAACTTTAATGAATCATACAGATAAGGTGGACGCCTCTTGCAGCAGCAATTATTGTCTGTGTGCACCATGCAGTGGGCTCATTGATGCTCTTATCCATAAAACAACCCCTATCCATGCTGCCATTCATGATCACTTTAATTTGTTTTCATAAGCAACCCAGATGTCATGGATTCACCCTGCGATAATGCATCCCAGTTTGTTGCCCCTGCTGCCTTTTTTTGAAGGTGTGCCTTGACATTTAATTTCCCCACAGCTCTGGCTGCAGAAACGCCTCATAATACAAGGTATCACATATCTTTTGAACTTGGATGGCTGTCTGCTAAAATTAGAGAAAGGCCGCCCATCAGCAGCATAAAGCCATCCTTGTATGCGCGCTGACCTTGTAGCCTCTCCCCGGCTTTCAGACGAGCGGTGCTGTGTTTGAGGGCACAGCTCAACTCAGACTGTGTCCAGTTCATGTCTGAGGAGCCCTGCTGCTGATGAGTGAGTCACTGTGCCTTTGCTTCAGCTCTCCCACACTCAGTCATCTTCTTTTCAGCTCCGGCTCAGCGGAGACAGCCTTGTTTCGTCTGTCTCCGACTGGCTCGCCTCAAACTTGCTGTTTTCCAGCCTTGCCACCTCATCTCCC